ACAAGTTGCGTCAGACATGGAGTGCTCTCCGCGTCGGAAAGCGAAGGTCTTAATTTGCTTTTTAAATATTTTTTTATTGAAAATATATTTAAATAAAAAATTTTAAACAAAATTCGTGAAATTTAATATAAACCATTCGGTTAAAGTTTTAATAACAAATTTTAAATCAATATTGATAGAGTTTAACAAAAAAAATTAATAGTAATAAAATTTTATTAAATATTTTGTTTATAATTAATGCTTATTCAAAAAAATTATATTGATATTTTTATTAAAATAAATATAAAAAATTATTTTTTAATTTTACATATTTAATCTATATAATAATTTTTAAAAATATTTATTTTATTTTTTAAATTAATTTATTTAATTATTTTTAATTGAAAATATTGTAAATTTCATCTAAATCTTTTAATATTGGGTTAGCATTGAAATTTGAAAATATTATCAGCTTACCATTTACTCCATAATTTTATTTAAATCTAATTCAAGGAGTAAATGTCAAAAGGTAATGGGTTTTTAACTCTTTTGGGACTTGGTTTTTTTGTTTTTGAACTCAGTCAAAAATTAAATTCTTTTATCAAAATGATCTTGAATTGTATTTAATTATTTTTTATAAGTTTCTAACTTATATATATATCTATATAAAAGATGGATCAATTTATACAATATCATTTTTAATTTTATATGTTTAACTCTTAATTTTAATAAATAAATAAATGAGATTAAATATTTTTTAATTTTTATTTATCTTATTTATCACTTTTTGATATATTAAAATTAAAAATATATAAAATTTACAAATTATGTTATATAATTTGATTCTTCCTCATATACATATATATATATTAATTTATTTAAATATGTTTCTCAATTTAATAAAATAAATGAATTTTTTGATAACAAAAAAGAATTATTTTTATAAGATATAGTGGTAACTCTTTTTAGTTAAAGATTATCATTTATCATTTGCACTTTCCAATCTTGTAAGCATTTTTTTAAAATAATAAATTAATTTAGTGAATCAATGGCATTCAAATTGATCAAACATCGTGGAGTAGAAAGAAACAAAGCCGCGATAGTGGGTTGGCTTTCTGATCCTACATTTACATTGTGTAAGACTTTTTAGTAGAATTAATTAGCATTTAACTATTTATTTATTTGTTCATTTAAAAAAAAAAATCACGCGTGTAATTGTGTGGTAAGTTTGCCGTTTTCGTGTATATGCGAGCCATCTTAACATTGACTTATTTTCAAATCTTAAATTCACAATGTGAATGATTTTTTTAATAAATTGTATAGTATTTTATATTTTGTTCAGTTTTAAAGAATTCTTGAATTCCGTTATATTTATTTAACTGAAAAAAATATTATGTATATAAATTTTTTTAATTTTTTAATCTTTAATTTGTCTGAATTCAAAATAAATTGAAAGAAACTTTTTAATGGAAATAACTTGTATTGGACAAATATGAATTTTTATTTATCAAAATTATTATTATACTCCAATTTAATCTTTTATTTATTTGAAAGTTAAAAAAATTAAGGATCTTAATTATAATTGTTACGTACGTACAATCATCAATTGGTCATAAAATTTTGATAACTAATTAATCGATAACTGATTGATTAATTGCTCATTGGACGTTATTAATTACTCACTTGAATAACTGATTAGCACTGTTAAAACATTATTTCTTTCAATTTTTTAGTTAAATTTTACTGTTTCATTTTTTGGATAATAATAGTGAGATATGATAGTCTCTGCATATTCACTTAAAAGCTCTTAATCAAAATCTTCCCTTTTTCACTACCACTGACGTTCCAATTTTTACCAATGATTTTTTATCTTTTTTACCCTTAGGAACCATTTGGTTCCCGAACTTTTAGATAATAAAATAATTAGTGATTATGAAGAAAAGTAATAATCAAAAGTAAATGTTGATTCTTGTGTTTTGTTGATTTTAAAAATATAAAATTTTTGTATTTAATTTTTAAAATTCAAAATTAAATAATGAATTTTTTTAATTATATTATCATTGATGATACTTAAATAAAAAGTGACATTAATATAATTATTTATTTAATATTTTCATAATATATATCTAACATATAAATAATTTATATAAATAATAATATTACATGTAAATGATATAAATTAATTTTATAATCATACGTATATCAAAATTTTGTAATTTATTAATGAAAATAATTAGTAGATGTAATTTATTAATAGTATCTTGATGCGAGTTCATGTGTCTTGCAATGTGTGGGTTGGGTTTGCTTTCCTTCAAACATCCTATTTTCGATACTTTATGGAATAAAATATTAAATAGATAATGTTTGTAATACTATTCCATAATAGAGGAGAGTTGTTATAAACTAATTTCATATATTTCACAAAAAGATGAATGAATAAATAATTAATTAAACATGAAAAGTGGTGTTCCATATTTATTTAACATGCAAAGTATCGCATATTTATTTTATATATTTAACAACTTATATGTTAAATAAATAAATAAATAATTTAACATCTATAAAGCTATTAACATGATATACATATGTTAATAATACACATAACATACATAATACAAAATTTTTATCAATTAAAAATAAATATTTTATTGTAAATTTTGTTTCATTCAAATAATTATAATATTATTAACATAATATACATACATTAATAAATTTGATTATATATTTTATTAACTAAAATCAAATTAATTATAAAAAACTTAATTAAAAATAAAACTAAAATAACTGAGCTAATTTCTATTTCTATAAAATGGCATTTTTTTTATCCACGATGCTAAATGTCAAAGTGATATGTGAGCTTTAGTTTATGTGTAATTTATATGATATTGAAATATATAATTGATGTTAAATATCAATTATTAAGGATAAAAGTGAAATAAATTTTATATTATGCTATAAATCTAAAAAAATTAACAAGTGAGAATTTTTTATTCTAAATAAGTTTATCCCTTATAGACAATGTTGCTAATTTTAAAAAATTTAAGAGAATTACATTTCGTAAACCAAACGTAGAAATCATGTTATAAAAAATTAGACTCTTAAAAAGAATAACATAATCCGATAATCAACCATGTTCTTAAAATTATAATAGTTTTCATGTGTTATCTTTATTTTTATTTTTTTTATCTTGATTTTTGTTTTATTGATTTAATATAATAAAAAATTTTATTTATAATGAATAATTTAATATTATTGTAATATGATAAATAATATTTATTCATATTTTGATTAAATAAAATTTAAGCATTTAAATATTATAAATAATATTAAAAATATATAAAATAATTTATTAATATACTTTAAGAGTAACGTTATTATCCAATGTTGTTAATACTGTACCAAACAATATTTTTGTTTTTTAAATTGTATATGTCCATACTAGTTATTTCGGTATATTATTTCATATTTTTTAGTTTAATAAAAATATATTTATAAATATACATAATTTTGTACATAATAATACTACTAATAATCTACAAAATAAATATGCAATATATTTAAAAACCAACAAAATAAGTTTAAGAGTATAAAAATTAATATTATCAATTTATCATAATATTTTTAAACACTTAATTTTACCAAATATTATTTAAATGATTAATTTTATTTTTTCATATAAATATTCAGATAAAAATAAAGAGATAAAAAAATAATATTGACTTTATGATTATTAAACACTTAATTTTACCAAATATTATTTAAATGATTAATTTTATTTTTTCATATAAATATTCAGATAAAAATAAAGAGATAAAAAAATAATATTGACTTTATGATTATTAAACTTTTGAGAGGGAATAGACTTGCTTTCTTAAAAAAAATTGAAATACTTATAAGTTTTGGTTGGAAAAAATAAAATATAAAAAAAAAAGTTATAGTAAAAAATAGAAAAACCTAACTTTTAAGGATTATTTCATCAATTAATTTAATTTTTATTAAGTTAAAAATAGTATAACAATAAAATATAAGTTTAAAATAATAAAATATGTGTTACATTCACGTACTAATCGAAACAAGCTAATTTATCAAATTTCACAAAAATTAGTCAAAACCAATGAAAACAATAAATATTGCCCAATACAAAGTCTAGTACAAAAGTCACATATTAAATGTATCATATTTTAATATAATTGAAATATATTGATCAATATGATCAATACTAAAATGAAATTAATGACATTATTATTGATGAGATGCAAATTTATTTATTAATATTATTACGTTTGCATTTAAATATAAATTTCGTCACTAATTTTAATCTTATTCTAACAATATTTAATCCTATCATCATTATTATTTTCAATTTTATTGCTAATCCAAATAAGTTATACATTAATTATGTGTTTAATACATAAAAATAAGATAAAATAATATTATGAATACAATTAAATTAAATAATTATATTTAATATATGTAATAGTTATGATAAGATAATTTATTAATTGAAAAAATATATTTTCTCAAAATTTATATAATTTAAATTGTTAATATAATTTTAAAAGTATAATAAAATTTGTAAGTTTAATTCTATAAATTTAAAAAAATTAAATTATCCTATGCTAAAAAAATATAAATAAAATATAACATAATTATTAATTTATTCTATTCATTATCTTATGTTTTGAAAAAGAGAATATCAAGGAAACAATTCTTACGTGGCAAAAGCATGGGTTAAGAAAGACTCCAATTAGGTCGTCCACAAGTGGCCAGTGGTGGATTCCAAAGGACCTTTTTATTCTGGTTAAATCTCTGACAATTAAATATCCAAATTCGTTTTTTATTAATTTAAATTAATAAAACATGACCACGTAAGCCCACATGCCGGATGAAATAGGTTGGACCCCTTACATCGGAAGCGTAGATCGACTAAATAACTAACACGTGTACGGCATATGTGACGTTGGAATAAATAAATGGCTAGCGCGAATCTCGATGGGCCAACTCAACAACCAATTTTGCCCCCCGTATATACGCTGTATTTATACACATACTTTTTTCTACGACACGTGTTTGGTGACGTGGATGTGCCTTGGCACTCCCTTTCTTCTTCTTCTTCTTCCACAGCCTCCATGCCTCCCCCATCTCTCTCCTCTCTTCTTAACTTTTTTTTTTTTCTCTTTGTTTTTGAGTAAAGATAATGCAGTCTTTTTGACTATTTTGTTTTAGAATTTCTCGTCTACGCCCGCCTTTTTCTCCCAATTGAAGATACTCTAATTTATGCTGTAAATCATTGTCTCGCTGATAAGGGAAGGAAGATTTTTGGATTTCAGATTTTCAAGGTATGTTGAAATCAAAGTTACGGTTATAGTTTTTATATTTGTTTTAAATTTTCTTTATTATTGGGTTAGTGGATTAATGCGTAAGGTTTTATTTGGTTGTTTAGAAATCTGATGAACTTTCGGGAAATTATATTATTTTTTAAAGTCAAATTTAATTTTGGCGGTTTTTATTTGGTGAGGTAATGTAAGGAAGTGAATTCAATTTGAAGATATAACGATCAAGTTTTGATTGTTCTGAAAATAAAATCTATGGAGCTCTTTACTCAACTTAACTTTATTCAAAATATAACGGAATTTGTAGGATTTAAAAAAAAAAAACTGTTTTTCTTCTGGTCGTTTTAGTAATTTCTTGGGTTTATTTTTCCCTGGATCTATGTGAATTCGTGATAATTTCTGATTAGAAACTTTGAATTTGCATGACTATTTTGGCTGAATTTCATGAAGTCTTCTTTTGAAGAAGAGGAATACGGAGAGAGCGAGAGAGAGAAAAAGATTTAGAATAAGTTTTAAAGGGAATAAGGAGGCAAAGTCATGGATATGAGGAAATTAAACGGTGAAAATCAAAACAGCACTAACCAAAAGATGCTTTTCTCTAAAAAAAAAAGTTGTGGATTCATCTGAAAACGGAAACTAGTAGCACAAAACTTTAAAAGTTGTTACGAATAGAAAAACTGCAGAAATCTTCGACTGTAGTTTCAAGGGTATTTTTGTCCTTCATGTAACGGATTAATCCAGGTGAGATATATTTTGTATTTTATTGTTGTTTTTTACTTATGGGTGTGGGTACTTGAAAGACAGTTATACCCTCCTCTGTTCATATTTTTGTTTTAAAATTTTCCGGGCTATGCATCGTTGTTTCTTTCTCCATTACTCTCTCTTTCCCTTCTTTTTGTTCTTGTTCATGGACGGGCAAGGTTATAAATTTAAAGATTTTTTTTTTGGGTGAAAAATGAGGAAGTAGAAATCTGAAAATCATGTCTGTTTCTAGAGGAAGGTGTTGACATGCATCAAGTCGGTTCAAGGATTACAAATTTAATTTTCATTAATTTGATGTAGTTCTTTTTGAGCATAGAGTAACAGCATATGGGTTGTGACTGCAATCCAACTTGGGGTCATTGGCCTTCACCAAGTCAAACCATCGGCCTCTCTTTTACATAAAGAGTGATAGAGAAGTAGAGTGATGGTATCTTCGTACTCTTATAGCAATTCCATCATTAAATCAAAATGATTGGATCTAATTGCAATTCAGTGCCAATTTCTTTGTATGATTTTTTCTGAACTATTCCTATTGCTATCAAGAAATTTGCTGTCAAGCACCACTTCATGTTTCTCTCCTTGATTGCAGTTGACAGAGAGGCGACCAACTTGGTGTTTGACCATGGGAAACAACGATGAAGGAAAGTCCAGTAAGTCTGACAAATCATCTTCACCAGCGCCAACGGTAAGCTAAAAGATTATGCATGTTTAACTGTTGAAACTAGAAATAAGCTGAAGCTTTTTGTGCTAGAAAAGAACAATTACTATCCTATATATGATTATTTAATTTGTTTTAGGGAAAAGATCTTTAAGGTAGTTGTGGTAGAATTTGCTTAATCTCTCTATGGAGATTAATTTTTGAAGCTCATATCTGAGTATTGGTCAATCCTTTTCTATTCACAGGATCAGACCAATGTTCATGTCTATCCCGATTGGGCAGCCATGCAGGTCATCTACTTTATGCATGCACTTAGTTCCTTCTTTCCCTCTGCAGTTGTTAAGGCATTTATTCAACTAAAATTTCACAATCCATTTTTTTTAATGAAATTTCTAATGGGTATTTTATGGTTCTTTGTTACATACTTAGGCATATTATAGTCCTCGAGTCACTATGCCACCATATTATAATTCAGCTGTGGCATCTGGCCATGCTCCTCCCCCCTATATGTGGGGTCCACCGCAGGTACCGTCCATAGCTCCAGGGCATTGAATTTTATTTAAGTTTTTCATTGAATTACGCTGTAAATAATTATTGAATGTACTAATTTTAAACTCTACCAGCCTATGATGCCACCTTATGGGGCACCTTATGCAACAATCTACTCGCATGGGGGAGTTTATGCGCATCCTGCAGTTCCTCTGGTAAGTTTACTTTGTTACTATCTTTTAACTGGAGTATTATTATTATTTTTAAAAATTATCTAGAAGTTTGCTTTGCATTTTTGGATATGAGTACTAGTTTTTTGAAGTTTATGATGCTTGAGTATGTATAGTACATGTCCTGTTGTACAATCCTCTGGTTTCTGACTGCCCTATGTTTAGACAGTGGTATTTTTTATGGTTTACCAACTAGATAATACTTGGTGGATTCCTTATCAGTACAACTAGACAACAAAAAAAAAAAAAACTTTCCTTTCCCGCTCAGGATATGAATTGAGTGCTAAATAACACCCAGAACTCTGCTTTTATTGTATCATATTATACCCTAATGCATTTTTCATCTGTTTGATCCTGAAATCCAAGGATCACATGGTCATGGTGTTCCATCATCACCTGCAGTAAGTGAAGCTTTGTTGAATGACTCTTATCAAACCGTTCCAATTTTATCCATGTTAATTGTTGGTGCGATGCACATAACCTGCTTCAATGAGTTAGCTGGAAAGTTGTCAGTCTTTTCTTTATGCTTTAAGGTGGTATTGAATATAACCAGAGCATTGTAATGCAGGCTGCGAACCCTGCGGAAACACCTACAAAGTCCTCAGGAAATACAGAACGAGGTTTAATGAAGAAGCTGAAAGGATTTGATGGCCTTGCAATGTCAATAGGCAACGGCTCTGCTGAGAATTCTGAGGGTGGGGCTGAACCTAGACTGTCCCAGAGGTTTGTTAATCTTTTTAGGACAAACTAGTATTATTTCGGAAATCAAAGCTATGCCTTAGCAACCTAGTTGTAGGAGATTGCACAACCTAGTATTTTTTCCTGGTTCGCTCCCCGTGGCTAGGCTAATTTTGTGATCATGTGGACAGTGTGGCGGAGACTGAAGGTTCCTCTGATGGTAGTGATGGGAATACAACGGGGGTGAGATCTCCTTCCTATCCGTGGAATCTGTTTCCGACATCTTTTTGTTTTTCTTTAAGTTATTTTATTTGAGTAATGTCATAAACGATGATTAAGGACAAAATCCTAAAGCTCATTTTTGTTATGCGCATCTTTGGTCAGACGGATCAAACTGGACAGAAAAGAAGCAGGGAGGGAACACCAGCCATTGGTATGACTCCATTCTTCACCAACTATATTCTATATGAATAATAGATTTGACCTGGAAGCACAATGTTTTAGTCAGGCTTCTGAGTGGTCGTGGGTGGTTGTTAAATCTGAGATATCTTGTGATTGCATAGTTCCTCTAATGTGTGAACATTATTAATTCTTATTATTGATGAGAACTTTGGTTATCTAAGAAATATAACCAACAAGAGGGATAGAAACACCCCGTTTTTCTGGTGTGTATGTTAGCCTCTGTAATCATGGTGTTTGATTCACTTTCAGGAACTGTGCCCGATGAATGATGTTTCAAAGCCAGATTGATTCAAAAAGATGTGGGTCTGTTTAAATGGAACAAAGATGCTGTTTTTCTAACCCAGATTTTATTATGTCTTCTATGTCTTGTTTTTAGAGGAAAACGCTATCTATAATTGATCATGTTGGATAGCCAATTCACAGTATCCTCCTCTTGTGTGGAAATGGTGACATCTATTTGTTTCAAACTATTTAGGAACACTATCAAATTTTCCCTAGTATGAGGAAACCCCATTAAAGATCTGCAGGCACACCTCTGGAACTTCTATGTGCAGTACTTAAGGTTCATGAACTTGATATGCACAAGTTTTTTGTGATTTCTGAAAGGAACAAACTTGTGTTAGAAAATGAAAGAATGAGAAATAAATGATTGAACACTTGGTCCCACTTTCTTGTGTGAAAGGTTTCGGTTTATTGATTTATGGTCTCTTTGTTAGCAGGTGGAGATGGGAAACATGAGGCAAAGTCTAATTCAGTTGCTGGCATGACCACAGCTTTGGAGCTTAGGAACCCTCCTACCATGAATGCTAAGTCCAGTCCTATGGTTGTACCTTGTGGAGTAATGCCTTCTGAAGTCTGGTTGCAGGTATTTGTGAAAGAAATTCTTCTATATCTACCATTCTTTCTATCCTGTTTTTCTAAGCTATGCTTTATAGCTTGCCTATTATTTGAATTTCTTTTTGCTGCTTTCTTAAGGAGTCAATGCTTTTGATTACAATGGTAGTTAATGCACATTTCAGTGTTTTCTACTCTGAGGTCAGGGGGTGGGTTGTGCTATCTTAAGCTGTTTCTAACTTAAAATCAAATTTAACCAGAATGAACGGGAGCTGAAACGGGAGAGGAGGAAACAATCTAATAGAGAATCTGCTAGAAGGTCAAGGTTGAGGAAGCAGGTACAAAAAACACATCTTGTTTCTAGTATGCTTAAAACCTATAATTCTTCCTACGAGCCCTTTTAGATTTTACCACATATGAAGTATAACAATGAATGATCTGAAACTAATGCTGTATTTACTTTTGTAGGCTGAGACAGAAGACCTAGCCCGGAAAGTTGAATCCTTAACTTCAGAGAATGCAACACTCCGATCTGAAATAAATCAACTAGCTGAAAAATCAGAGAAACTAAGGCTAGAAAATGCTACATTAGTGGTAGGCACTTTTAGCATTTTTTTTGAAATTTATTTTCCGCAACTTTTGTCAATTTTGATTTGCTACATGCCTGATTCTTAACTCCATGCGTCATGTACTGACTTGTGAAGTCTTTTGTAATACAGGAGGGACTGAAAAATGCTCAACTGGGACAAGCACAGGAAATTATTATGAACAAGAAAGAAGATAAAGAGGGTGAAATGTATGAGAAAAAGTCAAACTCCGGTGCCAAGCTGCATCAACTCTTGGATGCGAGTCCTAGAGCCGATGCCGTGGCTGCCGGCTGAATAAGGAGAAAAGTTATACCTGAGTTATTTTTGACATTTAATCGGAGGAAATCACGTAGCTTTGGCATAATTAGAAGCTCAAAACTACTGCTAACAGTTAGCAGAGGGATGAAATAGTTTGTGTTTTGGACAGCTATTTTCACTTGTAAGTTAGCTCTCTCTCTCATGGCAGAACTGAATGTATTTTTATTTGAAAATCAGAGTGATGAGAAAGCCCTGATGTACATTAACGAGAAATTGGAGTTTCAGTTTAGGAAAGGGTCTTTGAAACCTTCAATATGTAATGTAATCTCTAATGATTGTGCGATTTAGTTTAGGTAATTAATTCAGTTTAGGTAATGTATTGGCAGCGGTGTAGTAGACTTACTGTATGTGATGTGTGAAATGAGAAAATGCCACTCCTATATCTGTTTTGCTGTGTTTCACGTGTGAATTTGGACATTCGTTCCTGTGGCCCAAATGATTAATCGATGCCAAATTAATTTCTGAAGTAATTGCTCTAATTTGATGAGGGCAATGAAATGAAGGGGGCCAAGAAACTCTTCCAGTTTGGCTTAACAATTAAATTCTAATCATTTAATAATTAACTAATAAATAATAATATAATTAAATAATTAAATTTACACATAATGTGATTTTAATTAAAGATCTCAAAATTTTAAGAATTTTTTTATCGTTAAGTCAAATGAAATTTCTTATGGTTAACTCAAAATTTCACTAGCTTTGTTTTATTATTATTTTTTTTATGTCTAAGTACACGATAACTAAGAGTTGCTCAATTGTTGACTTTGTTTCTGGCAAAAAATATCGTTGATTTTATATCAAAAGATTAAAATCTCAATAATTTTTTTAACAAGTTAACATGTAGAGACTTTGAATGAGGGGTGAAAAAAAAATCTAAAAATGCAAAAATTAATTCAAAATTATAGTGTTTGGTTTAGTTTGGATTTATTTTTTTTATTCGATTTAAATCAAATTTAAATATTAAATATATATATTAAATTTTAATCAAATTTTAAATTAAAATGTGAAAAATAAAATAAAAAACGCACTAAACCAAAGCATATATATTTTTTAATTCTTATATATATTTTAAATTTTTATAAAATAAAAATAATAATTTTATATCAAAATTTACTTAAATATATTAAAACAATATATAAAAATTAAAAAATTAAAATTAAAAGTTGATATATAAAATCAAACCTAACTAGATAAATTCTATCACCCGTACCTTAAATAAAACTTTTTTAATTTATATGAATTTGTGCGTGAGTGAAGTGCTTCTTAAAACAATAAAAAATAAATAATGAAAAATGCACATGAGGAGAGACAGAGGAGGCACGTGGGCCGTGGGGTCACAAACAAAGACCAAGGCTGAAGCCTGCCCACATAATCTAAACCTTGATCCCTCAAACATTGCCAGCTTTTGTCCTCAAACGTGATTCCCAGCTCTTTATTGACCTTTTTTTTTTTTTTTCTTAATATGCTTTTTCCTTGTTTCCATCCTTCTACCCCAAAGTAAAAATCATTGAAGTAATATTTCAACTACTTAGGAAACCATAAATATGTCAGTATATAACAAGGGTTATGAAATTTCGAGTGTAATTTAATTATAGGAATATTATTATAATATAATTCATCATCAAGTGATGGAGATGGAGGATGCAAATAATTATTGTCTATGAATTCTTGGATTCCAATGGAAATGGCAAGTGGCATTTTCTGGAATTATAAAGTGCATGAATTGAAATAGATGAAAGCATATAGTACTATTTGAGTGTTTGTCTTTGTGCATTTCAAAATTACGTTTTCATAAAATTAATCACGTGACAAAAAAGTTATTTTATTTTATTTTTAACAAAAAAGTTTTTTTTTTTTTTTGATTTGAAACTTTATTGACTTCATTCTACAATTTTCTAAAATGTTCAAAAGTGTCTTTATCAAAATTTATACTCATTATAAATATAAAATGGGTATAATTTTTTTTTTTAGAAAAATTAATGTCATGCAACTATGCAAAGCTTAACCTGATTTTTGATTTTGACTAAAAAACAAAGGCAAAGTCTTTGTTTGTTAAGGTAATGATGTCTAAACTTTAATGGATGGCTCTTTCTCTTCTCTCTCCTAGGTAACATACGGTAAGATAAAAAATTAAAATTGAATTGTAATCCGAAAATTTTTCATTTTCAAATCTTATAGTCTTGACCCTTGTACAAAGGACATGTACTTCTCGTATCTCAATGTCCTAGATCCTTGCAACAGCACCCCCGTCTCCTTTTCTACACAGTATATATATATATATTTCATTACCTTGCCTCTTAATCAATGTTCCAGTATTTGGCTTTTTGTTCATTCAAATTTTAGTTTTTAGTCGTATTAAAATCAATCAGAAAATGAGAGTTGCTTCTAGGAAGGGGGTTGCCTCTTATTTTAATGTTTCTATTCTTTCCATGCAAAATGTACGCGGCTTTAATCCTTAGATTTCATCTTTGCTGTTTAACACATACTTTTAGATTAGATTCTTCTACTTTTGTAAGGCTTATTTATTCCATAGTTTCTAATCTCCTCAAATAGGTTCTGTTCGAATTTGAAAGTTATCTATACAAAAATATACTTTATAGTCAGATAATTTCTTCTTATTCATATCAATTTCATCCTTTGATGACTTTTGGAGACTTAAATCCTTTGTTAAAGGATTGGGTTTTATTCTTTTTGTGAAAAAAGATTGAAATTTGATGTAAAAGTTTCTAGAACTCAAGTTTTTGAGTATATACATTTATGTTTTTATCCTTTATTGGAACTCATTCAGATTGTCTTCTTCTGCTGTGGAAATGACAAATTTTTCTCATGATTTCTTTATGAATCTGGGGTGTTAGGTGTAGGTGTATAAAGTTGCCTAATGTTCTACCTTTTTGTGTTTCTGTCTCTGGTCTTTAGGGTTTCAAAGGCATGCTTTTAGTAGCAGTAGTTTGGGCAAATTAAGGGTCCTTAGATCTGAGACATGATTGTCATGAGATCGGTGGTTTGTCACAAGTTAATGAACTTCTTAGTCTGACTAGACTAGTGTCTCTTTGCACTCATTGTTGTCGGCATTTCATTGTTTCGAAAAATTCTAGAGAAGTGTTTGTTAAATTCCAGAAGTCTTCAGAGGTTTTATTTTGGGGGGGAAATTTTGGTTTTGGTTTCCAAAATGGGGCATTCTGCAGCAGTATGGGATTACAGGGCAGCAACTGAGGTTATAAAGGATTGGAATGGGACTGACAAGGTTGTGCTTCGGAACCCTCAAGGGGCTTCAGCAAGGGTGAGATTCAGATTTGTTATTTCCGTCTTTTTCTTGTTGCTTTTGTTGAAAAAATGAAAGTCAAATATAAATTGGTCCATGACAACTATATCAGATAACTGAATGCTGTTGTCTTTTCATATGTGTATTAGTGGTAATTACAGAATAATTGAAGGAAACAAGGTTAATTTTGTGTTAATTGTCTTTTAATGTTATAGGTTAGCTTACGTGGAGGACAGGTCACTTCATGGAGGAATGAGCAAGGGGAAGAACTTCTGTTTACTAGTAGTAAGGTAGTCTTTTTTTTACACTATATATTGTATATTGCTTTGTTTTTTAGCTAAATGTGTAATCGAGTATTTTGCTACAGTGCATATCCAAAGAAAAAATTATCATTTTTAACTTAATTGCTAATAGGGCTGAAGGTTTGTCTAGCATTTCGGGGCTTTGTTAATTCATATGATCTCTTAAAGGATGTTTAATTTCTATATAAGTTATCAAATAGGTAGCCTCGATCTATGGCTATAGATTTTATAAGTTAAAACCAATTTATCATGCTAGAAATGGAACACTGATTCATTTTCTTTACCATGAATTTTAGGCAATTTTTAAGCCCCCAAAAGCAGTGAGAGGGGGAATCCCTATTTGTTTCCCACAGGTAGTCATTTTTCTGTCATTTTGTAAATGTAGTTATATGGAATCTTATCTATAGTTACTTATGGATTTCTTCAATGCTTGTTAAGTTTGGTAACTGTGGGTCACTCGAGCAACATGGATTTGCAAGGAACAAGATCTGGACAATTGAGGAAAATCCTCCACCTCTCAATCCAAATGATTCCCATGGCAAATCCTTCATTGACCTATTGCTTAAACCATCTGAAGAAGATCTCAAGTGCTGGCCCCACAGGTATGCACTTGGAAGCTTGCATTACCTCTTTTGTTGGTTTTAAGAGGATGGTACTTACAGGTTGAAACAACACACTGTATTCTACTTAGTAGAAATTAAATTTAGATGAGCAAATTGTTCAAGCCTAATATCAACTATAAATAATCCTCTCAATATGAAGGAAGTATTTAGTTTTGCTAGCATGCATGAACGCGTTTTCATTTCCACAATTGAAGCTGAGAAGCATGCCAAACTCTTATCAACGAAATCATAGATTGCAAGTTTCTGACTACTGCATCAATTGCTGTGACCTTTGTAATAAAACTTGTTGTCTATATATATGTCGCTAACAGACTTTTCTTTTCCCCTCTCAGTTTTGAGTTTCGCTTGAGAGTGTCGCTTGCAGCAGATGGAAGTCTGACATTAATATCACGAGTTAGGAATGTCAATGGGAAGGCATTTAGGTTCTCTTTTGCGTATCATACATATTTGTCAGTTTCTGACATAAGGTACAGAGTATTATTTGCCTAAATTTAAAAGTTTCCCATTTGATATCATATTAATAAACAATTTGACATTGTACGATTAATAAACACCCAGCTATGATGTAGAAGCAGTATTGAGTATTTTAAATATTGAGTATTTATACTGAGATGAACAAAATTTTGCTTGGGTAAGCCCTTATGCCTTGCTCAAACCATAAATGTTGAGGTAGAATCAAGAAAGAATCTTGATTCAGAACTTATTAAGATTTGTTCAAAATGAAAATTTTGTACTGCTCAGAGGATCTATCAGTTTTTTTTTTGGTCGCGATGAATAGTCTGGATCTTCTTTCTGGATTTGACACGAATATGAACGGTGTCCACAGTGAAGTGAGGATAGAAGGCCTGGAGACGCTTGACTACCTAGACAACCTTTGCCATAAACAACGTTTTACAGAGCAAGGAGATGCTATAACTTTTGAATCAGAGGTACATGAGTTTTACTTTGCTATTCCTTTGAAGTGTCCCAATGTGTTTGTGGTCTCATGAAAAAGAGGCAACTTCATCATTGGTTTAGGAAAAATAATTTTGAGAGAGCAACTCTGGCAGTAGGACTTTTTTGTTCATGTTGGCCTCAAAATAACATCAATCTATTATGCTTGAAGTCATTTGTCTTGCAAGACTGCTGCAACACAAGATTTCTTTTTAGCATTAATTTTAGCTAAAAGAATAACAATTTAAATGGTCTAACCCACAGGTGGATCGAGCTTACCTCAGTACCCCAAACGTAGTTGCTGTACTCGATCATGAAAGGAAACGAACATATGTTATCAGAAAGGAGGGACTACCTGATGTTGGTAAGCTTGCTCAAGTACTTGTGAGAAATATCTTGTAAAGGGATGTTTAGGGTATGAATGCTTAATATGAAAGCCACTTGACTACATAAATGTATACTGCATGTATAAGTAATTTTTCATCTTTAATTTTTGTTTGTTTACAATCCTTTTCTTTTATCTACAGTGGTATGGAATCCATGGGAGAAGAAATCGAAATCAATGGTAGATTTTGGGGATGATGAATACAAGCAGATGTTATGTGTTGATGGAGCAGCAATCGAGAAGCCTGTAACCTTGAAACCAGGTGAGGAATGGACAGGGCGGTTGGAACTCTCAGTTGTACCATCAACTTTCTGTAGCGAACATTTTGATCTAAAGAGCGGTGGATTTTGATGGAAATGGTTTCAGAACATGTACCGCTACATTTTATGATGCTTTAGTAGCTCCACTCGTAGGTGGACTTGTTGGAACTCTAAATTCTCATGCCAAGAAGATGAGAATTCATGTAACAGTAAGCCTACTTTTATTTTTTTAAAGAATGGCCGCAACTTTTTGACGGTTGACATAAAAAAAAAGAGAAAATCTGTTTCATGACGAGAAATTTCATCTTTGTTGATTTCTATGCCGATACTGAAGTCAAAATTTTGTTAAAATGAAAATTAATATACATATAAATTTTAAACTGAACTTTCAGGACATAAAATTATCACATGTCCACTGAGATTTAATTGATATGACATATAATTGTTGTATGGGTGTAAAGACAACTGAGAATCTGAGATAGTGGGCTCTGTTTTGTGTTCATTCCTCCCTTTGATTTGATTACATGAATGTTTTATCTAAAGTGAGTTGGTCACGAATATGACAGACAAAATGAGACAGCTCAGTTCAAAATTGACAGATGCTAGAACAAGGGAAAAGCAAACACGGGAAAAATGTTTGTTCAGAGATAGGAAGCCACTCGTATCAAAGCCACCACGCCTCCCGCCACTCTAATTGTTGTTGCTAGCAGCTACAATTTTTTATAAAAATTATTAGTCAAAATTTACAAGAGAAAATTCATCAGAGCTTTTTCAACTAATAAAGGAGTTGCTTGAAGCTTTACATAATAATAATATCTATACAAAGTCTTTACTGATACAGAAAAAATCCACAACGTTCCATAAAAAAAACAATAGTATATATATTCAGAAGGGTTGTCCAAGAAGGAATTGCTTCCCATGGTTCACAACTATAAGTTTGAAGTGAGATACAATGCTACATCAGACAGTTAGACCTGGATGTTAACAAGATCCAAATGGCGGGTGAAAGGATATTCCATTCATCCATGTCATGGCTTAATGATAAGAAGGAATGCAAGTCCACAACCAGGCTCGACTGTGCCATCCTGGCAACCCAAATGCAAGCATGAGCTAACTGCAATGAGAAAATCGTAGGACTGAGCTCTCAATTTCCATACAAGAACAAGTGTTTTGAAAAGCCCTTGATAAGGCTTCTTATTTGCTAGGCCGAAAATCCATTTTAAGAAAATAAATTACAACCAACAAAAACGAAATAAATAATAATAAGAAAACCAAATTCACAATGGTTCATATCAAGAGTTGAAATAGAGATTTAGCATCAGGAGTTAAGAATCAATGAATTTTTTCTTACATTACTTATAAATTACAGACCCTGGCGATACTCCAGTTGCTTGGTGTTCTCTTGTAATATCTGCCAAGCAAAGGAATTAATGCTTTAAATGATAAAGTTATCTGAAACCAGTGAAGGAACCGCATAGATGTTTACACAAACCATTGACAGGGAAATTTCAGTTAATTTCACAGAAATGGAGAACTTGGCAGATAAAAAAGGCAAATGTTCTTACTTCTCTATGTAGTTTGTTACAGCCTTGCAGCCTTCAATCGCATGTCCCATGACATTTTCGAAGATGTCCACAGTTAATTTCGCATCCATCTCTATTACATAATATAAAAATGAATCTTTAAGAGTAAAAGGTTAACTAGTGGTCAGTGTCGTAAAGAACCTCTCGACCAATTTTGAGAATCAAACAATGTTCAAAGTTTATTGTACATATTACTTCAGCTAGAAAATAGTCTTGCAAAAATCAGCGGCTCAGCTACAGTGAAGGGAGAAAAAGGATAAGATAGGCAATGAGAGAGCTCACATATAATTTAAGGCACATGCTTGTGTACAGAAACACAGAATCATATTGCAATATAAATAACTTTTATTACCACAAAAGCAGGAAAAAGAAAAGAAGCCCAAGATGTTAACTAGCATATCTTTTGAATTAAAAACCTAAAAAGGTGAATGAGACACCAGATTCATATAGAACCTGAAGACGAATCACTTTGTCTAACTTAGGCAAGATTCCTACAGTGATATCCGGGCCTCCAGCACTATCTTCAACGTAGTTCAAATCTGTATGTGCAACAAACACCAATTTCATTGTTCAAAGGGATAAAAAGAAAAAAAGTTCAAAAAAGAAAAAGAAGAATAATTCACCAAGGCAGAGGAGTGCTATTTAGATACCCAGCCCTGCAGGAAGTGATAATATCACGCATTGGGATCCCAGCATCTGCCAGGCTAAAGTCGCAGCATTGATGCATGCAGATCTAGTTCCTGCAAGCACATTTAGTCCGCTTATGCTTCTTTTTCATTTATACCAAAAGAAAGAAGTAATAAAATCTACATCCAAACGGATATGGGAAAACAAACTAGCAAGTAGATAAGTGCATATATCTAATAACGTTGAAAAGCTTTATTCCTGAGCCAAGTTAGGAAAGAGTGAAAAGTAATTCTTGTAAAATGTAAATCAAAGCAGAAACGAATGCAGATTCATGCCATGCTGGTGGTTTGAGTGGAGCATAAATTTGTAACTGCATAAAATTAAAAAGCAAAAGGAAGCCAATGATTAACTAGAAGTTTAGAGAAGTTTCAAGTTACCACCATCGGCTTGAAGAACTTGAACAAATATATCTATCTGACAAAAAAATCAATGAAAAAGAAAAGCTTCAGAAAACAGACAACAACAAATGCCAGTTTGAGCTATACCATAGGGATTTAATTCAAACCTGAGAACGAGGCATTAGATGAGTCAATATGCATGCTTCCATTGTTTGGCGGATGACAAGAGATATCTCTGCTGACCGCCTAAGTGTAGAAAGAAAGATTGATATCAACAAGCATATAATTGTTCTTCATAAACTTGACGTCTGTTAATTTGGTCATGAATACATCTATTGTAATTTATATCAGCAGTTTGAAGGATAACACTAATGATACTACAAAAGCAATTGAAATAAGCACTAATGTTAGAAGGCCTTTAAAAATGCCAGAACCTATGTATGGAAATAATCCAAAATATGGCTACATTGGAATCAGACAAGGTTTGTGATGTTCCACAACGAAATGAGACTGTACATTTCGTCCATTACGTTTGGAAGGAGTAGGGTTCTGTCAAGCAGAGAATCCTAAAATGCTGTTGTTATCCGTTACCACAAAAACGCATAAGAATTAATAAAGGGAAAGGATATCATCTGTCACCCTTTGGCTTTCTCATGCGATCTCCAGTACTAAAATTAGCCATACTGTACTCACAGCGCACCTGATATCCATCACATATTAACACCAGGATTGTATACCTTCAAATCGGCAACATTTAGACATGATTTAAAGAACATTACCATTGCCTGGTCACTAATTTGTTGGCTATGACTACATTTATTCTCGATAGAATAAACCAACATCAGATTCAAACGAAGATCAAATTCAAAACACAATGATATATATACACACACACACACATACATATATATATATATATGTATGTATGTATATATCCACAAAACAAAGAATAAAAACTATCAAGAGCCATATAAATGTGTAATACTGTTAAGGTCTCTACGGACACAATGAAACTAAAACTTTACCTCTCTAGGGCCACATACCGCTGCAATGACTTTGGTGTTGTTGCCCATCTCAAAAACAACAGAACTGAATATAATAATAATAAAAATAATAAAGAGCTAGGAATGTTAGATATAACTTATTTTTTATGAGTACATATAACGTTAGCAGCACCCCAAAAAAACTATATTGTTAAATAAAGCAAGTTATAGGAGTGGCACATAACCATCAGCCTTTGCCACGGTACCAATCTCTGCACGAAGTTTTCTCATCTGGGATGAAGAAAATAAAAGAATAAGACCAAAAAATAAAGGCTAAAACGATAAAATGTGAGTAGAAAAATTAAGATGGACAAAATGGAAATAAACTAGAAGAAAAATGAAGAAAGAAAGGTTCACACTTCCATGGGACTTCGACCGTCCAAGCGGAGTCCTTCGGGGCTCACGTATTCCATCTTTGCCCCAGACAGAAGCGACAAACACCCAACTGGTTATGATTGAGGCTAGAACAGGAAGTCGCTCGTCAAATCCTCCTGGGTTTTGCTTCGATCTAGGAGACGCTGTCGTTTAACTAGCTAGGTTAGTATTAGCTGACTGGAACTGGCTTTGTGGGTTTGGGCCTAAGTCCAAACCAATCAACTTCCTCTTGGGCTGGTTTGACTTTATTCCATTCCTTTACTATTACAAGGATTTGGGCTTGGCTATCAACTTAGGTATATACCTTTATTATATTTCATGTACTTGTATCCATTTCCCTGGATTTTATATAAATCTCGTGCCAAATACCAATGTTATATCTAATTGCACTCAAGCATTAATGATTGAAATAAATTTTTTTTACTCAAAAGCAAGGGGTCAAAATATATATTATATACTATTTTTTGTGTTATAAATAATTTGGATTAAGAATATTACAAAATTTATAATAATTTACCTCCCATAAATTTTGAAAAAAAAAAAGAGAAAGTTATACTTTTTGTCTGGTGTGCAATCAAATCAAAGGTTTGATTTTCACACCACATGATGATCATATTTTTTTAACAACATGATTAAAGGTATTCTCACAGCACAAGAAAATAACAATGTTAATTTTATGTTCCTGTCAACTCCAAACCATCATTTTGAATGCAAAAGCACAAGATTCCTAGTGGTTAGTGTAGGTTTGGGAATTCATTAATAAAAAAAATTTAATAATCTGTAATGACACTTGCTAAGATAATATTTATGAAAAATATATGATTACAACGTTATTTATTCTTAAAATTAAGTACCTTTCCTTAATGTAAAAAAAAAAATAAAATGGAGTCTTAAGGGCAGAAAGCAGATATCATATCTTTTTCGATGTTTATCCTTACTTTACATGGCAACCATAGTCTAAAGCAGTAGCCCCATAAGATTGTCTTCCCACTTTCTGCTCAATGTGACACCCGATGTTGCACCTTAATTTATTCTCATTTAATTTAATGTTTTTTTTCTCACTTAGGCAAAATGCCAATTTGTGAGGTAGGTCAGGATCGATACCAAATCAAACCCCACTTCGTACCAACCATAAAATGGATTCTTTTAATCTAAAAACAGATAAAAGGAAGAGAAAAAAAAATGATCAATCAACCACCAAAAATAAACAAATAATTAAATTCAAACCCATAAATAAAAATGGAATTTATATGGTCCTTCATGCCCATTACAACATAAGAAGCCAAAGTTCAGACATGGACACATGTTGTGCTGTTATATGATAGATATGAATGGTACTATTTGGTTGGTGTTGGATCTTCCTTTTCATTTTCCACAACTATAATGTATATATGAATAAAATAATTATTCTAATTGTATAAATAAAATTTTAAGGAAATTAAAAAAAAAAAAAAAGAAGGGCCAAAACTAGCTACAATCCAATGTCGAAGAATTGCGTCATGGATGAGTCCTTTTTTCTACCCTTGCATGTGAAGTGTATCAACGAATGTTGAGCCTGCGCAGCCAAAAGCAACAATCTCCATCAACACAGTGAAACCCATCGATCACAAAAGTAAGTTAAGTAGCATTTCTCATATTTCACGATTCAAAGGCTTTGATATTTTATGGAAAAATTGCCATATTCTTGACGTGATTCTCACTGCCAAAAAAGCAGCAGTACTTGGCTCCCACACCCCCCAAAGTTCCCTATATTGGATAACTCTCACCCTTATCATTTCCTTGTTATTTCTTGCTTATTTCATTTCCATTAAATTTTACTTATATTAAACTAATTGAGATTTGATTACTTGAACTTCTTTTTTTTTTTTTCTTAAATTCATTTCACTTAATGTATACAAGTCGTATACACATGAGTTAAAAAATAAAAATAAATCTATTGCATTTATAATAGAAGGGAAATAAAAAAAATTATATTATTCATATAACATTAAAGAGTTAAAAAAAGCATATACTTTATTTTTAAATTTAATACGTTGAATATTGTTTTTCTAAAGCCAAAAGCTTATAATACAAAATAATTATAATTTTGAAACAAAGTAAAATTTTAATTTAAATAAATAATAATAACTATACTTAATTTTATAATAATCTAATCATCTTATGTAAATCAAAATAACTTTTGAATTAATCATATGGTACCAAAAATCGTCATGTAAAAACAAAATTTCAACACTTTTCAGGCTTTAAATTCGTCATAGACCGTTAGGCATTCTAAATAATTTGAAATTTGTTTTCTTTTTCCCACTTGAACTAGAAGACAATCATCCACAACAAAGATTAATAATACTATACTATTGTCAAATTAATAAAATTTATGTCATTAACAAGCAGATTTACATTTTTTTTAATCTGAAATTAACGTTTTCATCTCTGCTGTGTAAGAAATGTGAAATGAAAGTAGGATTTGTTTTAATTCAATTAAAGTAATGAAAAGTTTAACGTTGTTTTACCATTTTAACGTGTTGATGACGCATTTAGGCATGTCACCACCGTCAAGCTGTTTCATGGTGATTCCGTCACACTTCACTGTCACCCCCACCATACCAATCTTCAACCCTGCCACACCCACTCCAACTTTCGTCCGAGCTTCCACGTTTAATGGTAACGTCTTGCTTCGGTACCGAGTCAGAAGCCTCTTCCCAACCCCATCAACTACCAGCTTGTTACTCGCCTTTGTCTCCACTTTCAAACTCGTCGTCTTCTGTTTCCCCAGACTGAAGTCGTGCACCGTTTTCGTTCCCAACTCAGTCTCATCCCCACCCTCCCCAATGCTGACGTCAACTTCCGTATGGCCGTAATAATACGTCATCTTTCCGTTTGGGTTCTTCACTTCGATTCTGGCCGTCGTTGTCGCGTCGAGGTAGGTTCCATCAGGTTTTTTGGTGACGTTAAAGCGGGAGATTCGGAATGATTGGACGTGAAAGCTGGGCAATTTGGGGTCGAACCAAAGGTAGAAAACAGCGCCGCAGATTATGATGAGGAGAAACAATATAAAAAAGAAGATGCAGAAACAGCAACAACAAACTCGACAACAGCTACTCTTTGTTTTCTTCGGATGGAAAGAAGGTGGGAGAACCCGCTTTCGTGGCGGGGGTCTGAACCCCGGCTGGACAGCCGTTGCGTTTGGGTCTTTGTATCCCGGTGGCTTTTGGAGAACCGGTTTCAATGGTGGTTGGGACATTGCTTTGGTATAGAATTATGATACCCTGGATTGCAAAGATGAAAATTGAAATCAGGGAATGAAGAAAGAAAGAAGCTTCCTTTTGCAATTAAGTGAAAGAAAATAGGTACATGCATGCAAATTTGAGAGAAATTGGCAGAATTTAATGAACAAAAATCAATTATGATTAATGAAGCTTTGATTTTAGAGAATGGGCATTGAAAACAGAGCAACCTATAAGAAAGAAGGCAACAGGTGAAGAGTCTAAAGAAACATGAATGCCATATAAATTCAAGACATGGAAATTGTAGAGAAACGCGAAACTTATCAGAGATATGCCAGCAGCCAACGGGGTTGCAATATCGAAGGAATTGATGAATGAATGAATGATACAGAGATCTGATGAGCTTTGTGATCGCAGGGGAAACAACAAAAGAAAGGAGAAATCTTGTTGTTGGTAGTGATGTAATTAGGAAGAAAGAATAAAAGTGGAAACGCAGAGAACCGGATCAGGAAGACAAAGTCATTGGAAATGAGTAAGGGTAGACGAGAGAAGGAGATAAAAGTGCAAGCAGGAGAGAAAGAGAAAAAAGGTTATAAAAGATATAGGTGGGGAGAAGAGAAGTTTGTCTCTTATGGGAAAGAAGGGTTTCTTTTTTCAGTTATGGAGCCACTGTATTTTGGTCTCTGCAACACAATGAATTGAATTCAACTCTATGTCAAAATACGCTACAAGCAAAGCACGCATTTTATATTCTTTTGTAAGGCATTCCATGTAAATTTTCGTTTGTCATGTAATATACGAAGTACTGTGCATGAATATTTTTTTCAATATTAAAAAAAATTTCCTTTCACTGATGAGTTGTAAATTTCTTAAATAATTTTAAGATTTATTAATTAATATATATACAATCATTTTTAAGAGACGATGGTTAATAAATTTTAACGTTTATAGTCATTTCTCTTATTTTCAAATTATAATTCTTCTATATTAAAAAAAAATTCAAGGTATGTTAAGTTGTTTACCCTATATTTGGGTAAATGAAAAATAAATGCTAAGTTAATTACTATACATTATATACGATAGTAGTAATATTAAATTGAAAATGCTAACTATTATAAAAACATAATTTGCAGTACAGCCAAGGATTTTCATTAGCAATAATTTATTACTTTTTATAGAATCTTTTAAGAAAATATTCTAAATTTATTAGCTAGAGTTTGAGTATTCGGTTTTTATGTTTCTTTTCCTTTTGTCATTGAATTTCAAAGAAGTGATGAAATTAACCTTGTGAAAATATATATATATATATATATATATATACAGGTAGCGGTGGTCAGTGTAGCGGGTGTGTGTCCGGCGGTAAAGGTGGGGTTGGATGGAAGCGCATGTTCTTCAACGTGGGGCAGGAGCGTCCCTGCCGTTATCCACTAACTAGTCGTTTTCAAAAGTTCCACCGACGCCACCGAATTCCCCCCTTCCCATTGCGGTTAGGAGAAAAGCAACTTTTGCGTCCATCGGATGAAAAACCAACACAACTTCAGGTATACAACAGGGAATGTTCGGTCTTTGTGCGTTGTCTAAATACTAGGCAAATATACTTTAAGAATAAAGAAAAGGGTCTACGTAATTTAAGTTCTCTTTACACAAAACCAGTTCAATGTTACATTGTTAAAATTTCAATTGGAATTGGCTCTCCCTTTTCTTACAAAAATTGGTTTTCTTTTGTTTCGAAGTGTTACTTTATTGTTGATCTAAGTTAAAACTTCAGTGTCAGTTGCAAATTGTAAATTTGATGTTCCTTCCACACCTTCCGAGCGATTTGGCTTTTGATTATAATGGCCACGCAACATTCAGAAAGGAAGAAGAATGGGATGTGACGCGGATGCTTGACCAAAAAACCTTATGTTGATTCGAATTGTCGTGAAGCATCATCACTCCCACATTTGTTGCAGAAGAACTGCGGCCACATTTCCAAATTGATATATTTCAAATTATGGGAAACACGTCCATCTCAGTTAGGCAAATTATGGCTCCTAGCCTTTTTAAACTTTGACGATTATTGTTAAAATTTTCAGGTTGGGATGCTACTAAACTCAATATCATGTCTTAATTAGTATTGACTTCCCCCTCTCTCTTTTCTATTGAACTACTTAGTAATATCTTTAGGCTACCTTTTTCTGGTTCAATGAATGGTAATTAATTGTGGTAATGCTTTCATTAAGAAACTATAGGTTCTCCTTTGTTGAATATCTTAGGATTAAAGTCCTATTTTCATAAAGTAATAATAAAATAAATGTCAAAAAAAAAAAATTGAACACGGTTCACTTTTAATGTGAAATATTATGCCTATTTTTTCGGTTGCTGTAAAAATTTTCACTGTTAAAAATATTTGATTATAAATGTAATAATAAATTCTTAAACTGACGATTCTTTAAATATAAACATATTTATAATGATCAAATTACATATACAAAAAATTTAAAATAATCTTATCTAAAATACCTACAGTACTCGTTTGTTTGCTCTATATAAATACAATTAGTAGAACTTAGACTTTGTAAAACTTAAGAGAAGAAAATACCAAATTACTTTGATTCAAACAAGGGGTAGGGGAAGGGCTCTATAATGGGAAAGCAACCTAATGTTGATTGTGATAGGTTGCTCATGACATTTGCATTATTAATCTTCCACCTAAGAAAATTATGGCTTATTTATGTCATGTTTTTTTTTTTTTTATTTATTTTGTAGTGCAAACCAATCGAGCTGAGTTATGGTTGATGACTTGATAATTGTATTTTTCTGTGACTTTTGAATTACGACGGGATCCCCCTCTTTTTTCTTGACAATAGACATTACTAATTAAAAATATCACATATTATTAATTATTTATTAGATTAATTAATATGTTACTAAAATTAAAATTTGAAAGTTACGAGTTTTAAAAAATTTAGATATATAATATCTTCTTTAATTAAATATGTAAGTATGTAATTAAGTAAGAAAAATTTAACGGTAAATTAAAAATTTATAAAAATTTTTTTATATATTTGTAATTAATTATAAATATTAAAGCAAAATATCTTATATTATTTATATATATGTTCGAAATCATAACTTAGAAGGATATAAAATTAAAAAATTTTGTAATAAGAAAGAAGTTGCTTTTGATTGTGACGAAATTTAGGTTCTAAAAAAAAAAAAAAGATAATTTTGATTGCCATTTTAATTGAAACCATATTATTATTATTTTTTAATTTTTTAATTGACGGTAATTTGACTTGTTTTTTAATTGAAAATCTTTAGCATTATTAATATTATTACGTAAATTAAAATACTTAATTAAAAACATTAAAATTGGTATATAAATCTAAAAGCTTGATTTATAATTTCTTACTAAAAAAAAGAAAAAGAGAAAAATGACATGATAGGTCCAACCATCACGGATAACCAAAATACTCAATTAAATCCGGGCACCCGAACTTGGACACATCATCACTGATTCAGGAGAACTCCTTTGAATCAGACCAGGGTCCGAAAATGCTAAGCGGGTTCCATCCCGGGTCAGGGTCAGGGGTCCTCAGGGACCAATCAGAAATAGAACCAATGAACCATCCATGTCCATCTCCAACCACAGTCGTTGGCTCGTTCATTTGTAGTTTTCAACAGGGGACCCACATCTCTCCGCCAGATCACCTCCTCTCTTTCTCTCTCTAGAACTCTTCCTTGTTTTTTTCTCTTTCTACAACTCTCTGCGTAGATCAGACACGATCCTCGGACTCTGTCGATGGCTTCGAAGCGGATCTTGAAAGAGCTCAAGGATCTGCAGAAAGATCCTCCTACTTCATGCAGCGCTGGTAATATCTACGTTTCTCTTCCAATTTTTTTTTTTTTTTGAAAAAGATTTTTCCTGAAGCTTGATTTATACTCTTGTGTTCATATGGATGGCTCGTTGTTGGTGTGTGTGTGTAATTTTTATTCCTTCCATGTATTTGTTTTTGAATTATGGTGCTGCTAAAGTAAACTGTGGTTAAATTTTTGTAGATAAACCAAAATAAACCTGAAAATAGACAGATTAAAGCCTGAAATGATTCATGTTTTATGTCTTTGTAACAAAATATATGGCAATTGAGTTGTTGTTTACCATGAAAAGAAGGAATTAAACGGCTTACGCAGTAGTACATGAAGCATTAATATGGTTATTTATCCGCAAAATACAACCTTACCTCTGTATAATTTTACAGCAATGAATTCATGAGATTTTATGTCAATTGGTTGTACGTGTTTATGCTATAAAGGCGATAGTTCAAATGTTCTTTATTTTCATCTATGCTGGTCATGGAGTTAGTGCAGTTTTTAAAAAAAAGATTTGTAGCTTTGATTGTGGTATGACTGAAGTTTATTGGTTTTTGGCATTATCAATGGTATCCGTTTGTACTATTCACATCCAGGCACTAGTTATGAAGGTTTGACTTTTATTTAATGATGAATTTGGTTGTTCAAACTGTTCAACGATGCCAATGTCAGAGAAGTATATAGTTTTCGCTAGATATGATTTTTGGGTGCTTAATAGGGTATCGGTTGATTGATTATCTTACTCTCTTTTTAGCATATTCAATCTATGTCTAATAGTTTTGTGATGCAGCAATTTCTCCTGTGATTTACTTACAAATTCTTTATTTCATTGGTATGCAGTGTTTGTTTCCTTAATCCTGTTTTTATTCTTTAAATAATCGTGGTCATGAAATTTTTGGTCAGTTCTATTTTTGAAGAGTTAACATTGTAAAATGGCAAGATTTTCATGTTTGTAAGTTGTGGGATGTAGTCCTAAGGGGTTTGTAAGTTCAAGGTGTTATTTTCTGTGTTTGAAGTTCCTTGCGTGTACTACTAATTAAGGATATTGGAAATTGGAATTCCTCTTGATCTTGATGGGATTCTTGGATGCAGTTGCAAGAGGTGTGTGTTCTGTCTGCCATGGGATGATAGCATGATCTATTACTTTGTATCCATATGCTGACAGGTCCTGTAGCTGAAGACATGTTCCATTGGCAAGCCACAATAATGGGCCCCTCTGATAGTCCTTATACTGGAGGTGTCTTTCTAGTGACAATTCATTTTCCTCCTGATTATCCTTTTAAACCTCCCAAAGTAAGGGATAAATTCTATTCAATCTTATGTTTTTTGTGTTTCTTTTATGCTGATTTTGTAGTTATCCTATAACCTTTTCATGCAAGACTATCATGAACCATGCTTTAGAGATTATCGAGTGCATATATATATATATGTATGTATGTATGTATGTATGAGTGTAAATAATACAGTAGCTCATGCAACAAACTAGGTTTTTTTTTTCCTTTTCTTTCTCTTTTGGGGTGGATGGGTTTGACTGTGGTCGAAGTCGAGTAAAAGCTTTTAGTAGAGCTATGAAATGAACTTTACCTCAATCTGTTTGTTTCAATGTTTCCTCTACTTCTGCTTCTTGCAGGTTGCATTTAGAACTAAGGTTTTTCACCCAAATATCAACAGCAATGGTAGCATATGCCTTGACATACTGAAGGAGCAGTGGAGCCCAGCCCTGACCATATCAAAGGTTTCAACTCTAAATAATCTCTTACAATCTAATTATGCCCAATAATTTTGACGTAGTCCAATATAGGCATGTGTATTTGAAGTATGGGTAGATAGAATATTGAATATCAGATAGGCTTAATAAATATTTATAATTCATCTGCCGTAAACCTTGAAGTCAGGATAATTGGCCAATATGGTTTCTTCTGAATAGAAAATTTCATCTTAGGTGTTAAGCTTGTACAGTGGGGTAAAGTGTCAAAAGTGACCCTTAATTTTGTCTATCAGAACTCTTCCCAGCTCCTTGCTTGATGAGGCACTGTTAGTAGGTTGAGAATCTTATTAGCAAATGCTGACGTGTGTTTTGGCAGCTGTGTTGGACAAAATTCCATCTAAGCCATTCCCACGAAATTGTACATTTTCATTGCTGAACTTTTCTTGATTAGATGTGATTCATTTGACTTTCTTCCTGAATTCATCCAACACATGCTGTTAAAAAGCAACAGGTTTAAAAGATGGTTCAAATAGTCTTGAGTGTCATTTTAGGTTCCACCATTTCTAGCCCTTATAATTTGGTGGATGGATGGGTTCAAATATGTACATTCCATTCTAAAAGTTAATCATTTCTGTATTTTAAGAGGGTGGGAAAGGTTATTGGTTCCTCTTTCAGGTGTTGCTTTCTATCTGCTCCCTCTTGACGGACCCAAACCCTGATGATCCCCTGGTGCCAGAAATTGCTCATATGTACAAGACAGACAGGGCTAAGTATGAGTCAACTGCTAGGAGCTGGACCCAGAAGTATGCCATGGGCTAGTCTAATAATTGGTATTGGTAAAAGCTTTTAGGATATTGCTCCTCACTACCCATAGTGTATAAATCAAGCGTGCATTTGTTGTCATTGTTCCTGTAATGGACAAATTGAAGAACAGATGGATGCCTAGCTAGTCATAAAGCTGGCTGAAGTTGTAGATGTTGTACTTGATATCTCGAGCTATTGCAAGATCATTTGCTAACGATGTTCAATATATCTGTTTGTTCTGTTTTTGGGGACTAAAATCGAGTCTTTCTATTGAGGATGATGGAATTAATCCCTCTTGAAACTTCATAACTCAGAAGTTTTTTTTGACATGAATAATTGCTCACTAGGCTACACCTACATGTACAGTTGAATCAGAAGAACAATTTAGCAATACTTCTCTTCTAAAGTAGATCCCTCCTACAAATTCTTAAGAATTCCAACGTGATTTGGTACATTAACGACGCCCAAACTCCCCTTTATTTGCATGGCCCAAAAAAAAAAAAAAAGGTTCGTGTTGAAAATTAAGTAACAGTCACGTGAAGTAAATGAGCAACGGTGACAGTAACAAATGAGGGGAAAAGCTCTTATCGTTTTCTACCTACCTACGACTGCCTTGTACAAAGAATGTCCTGCTCTTCCTTTCATTCCTTGCCCCCCAAGCTTCAACTCGCTACCCCTTTCCTTCTCTATCATTTATATATACATAATAATTATCTAAAAAAAAAACCAAAATTTTCAAATATGTATTGATGATAATCAAGCTCTTGTCTTAGAATTAAAAAAAAAATTCAAATGCTTCTAAGTTATAAGAATAAAAAAGGATGCAGCTTTTAGCCTTTTACACTTAATTTCTGTAAATGTAATCAAACTAATTATTTTCTCAATGGAAAATTGAATTATGAGAATCTTAATAAAAATGCGCAACTTATTATTTATAGTAACAGAATAAAAAGCCCATTATTTTCTTTTGACCGAATCTTTGTTTCATTCCATGGTCAACATAGCGGAAATACAGACGGCTGAGAAGAATTTATTTCCTTTTTTTAGGAGAAATTTAGACGCTTGATTGACAAGCAATCAAAATTTGGTTGGACGACAAAAAAGTAAACTGATTAATATCATATTAATTTTTAATACGTATTATTATTAACATACTTTAATTGGTAATTTAATGTTAATCAAGTGATTAGTCAAAACGATCTGGCTGACGTGGCGTCACAGAAATGATTCCACATACGTGTGCAACGGAACTGGTCCTTCTCTCTCTCCCGTTACGGTTTTCTCCAGCGACTGGCTGTAACCGTACTCACCAGCATATCAAACGTCATTATTGATGATAAGTATCCAATGCGGTTGAAGCGTGTGGCACACATGGACCCTTGGAGCGTGAGGCAGGTTTTATTACTTGAGGACCAAGCTGAATCAGAGGACCGAGCTCTTTTCGAGGGAGGGCTATGACACGTGTCATTACGAGGAGATGCGGCGAGTTGTTTGGGATCTCCGGTTGTCACCGGAATCTCCGGTTCTGTAACCATCGCCAAATTTTATTTAATCCATTTTATCTTAATTAATTATATAATTTTGAACACATTTAACAAGCAATTAAGATTTTTATTTTTTAAAATTAAGTGAATGAAAAAAATAAAGGAAATAAACTAATAAAGTAGTTTTATTCAGGATACTCCTATAAAACAGCGATTCTCGGCCTTTTGACTCTTCCTCGCTTGCAACTGAAACTCTCCTGTTTCTCTCTGGTCTCTCGCCCTTTTACTCTCCAACAAGGTTTTAATTTTGCTTCGAAAATATCGTTTCTTTACAGATTCTTCTCTCTTTTAAAAAAAATCCCATCTTTTATGTTAAAGTTTTGATTATGAGTCCGGCGAGTTCGTTCCGAGTGAAATACACAGAGCGAAGAACAGTTACTAAGAAGCTAGTAAAGCCATCAAGCAAGTGGTTTTCCATGAAGTCTAAAGCTAAAGCCCCTAGAATTGTCAGGATTTGTGTTACCGATGGTGATGCCACGGATTCTTCTAGCGACGAAAGCGAACAGGAGAGACGTCAGAGAGTGAAAAGGCATATAAAGGAAATCAGGATCGAAGATTGTTCCACATTCAATTTTAACAAGCCAGCAAACAAGCAAAACAAGCAAGCGAATAGGAAGAGCAATCCTGTAAATATCAGATCAAAGAAGCAACAACATCACTGTTTGTCTAACGGTGTGAAGTACCGTGGGGTTCGACAAAGGCCATGGGGAAGATGGGCGTCAGAGATCAGAGACCCTAATAGTCGAACCAGGGTCTGGCTTGGGACTTATGACACTGCTGAAGAAGCTGCCTTGGTTTACGACAGAGCCGCGATTCGAATCAAAGGCCCTGACGCTCTTACAAACTTTGTAAAGCCTCCTGTGAGACCTTCACCACCAGGGATTGAACTTGAAATGATTTCCGGGTATGATTCTGGCCAAGAATCTCAGTCTCTCTGTTCACCTACTTCTGTTCTCAGATTTCAGTCCAACGAGGAAGCTGAACTTCAAACCGAGTCCAAAGGTGACTCTTTGGAGCTTATAGAAAGTGGGTGGAGACCTGTTCAGGAACTCCCAGAAGAACCAAGTAACTTATCAGATGAGTATTTATTAACAGATCCGGTGGTTTTATGTGATTACTTTGATTCTGATGACCCTGCGCCAACATTTTTTGATGAAATGAGGTTACCAGAAGACAGCAATTTGGAACAGGATTTTGCTGATATTTCTGTTGAATTAGATGTTGATTTTGCTTCTTGTACGTGGGATGTCGATAATTACTATTAAAATCAGTGAAATTCTGCCTGAAACAGTTTGCTGGAGTTGCTGTCCTGGAGTGTTCATATGCTCCCCAATTTGCTGGTAAATACTTTGTCGTGCGTATTCTATGTGAATGTGATGTTAAATTCCGAGTGGAATTTTGGATACGTTTTTCCGGTTTTTCACTTCCTCTCTAGGTCTGTTTCTCTAATACTAAAGTGTGTAAAGACATAGTAAATATGTAAATTCTTGGTTCTTTCAAGGGGTTCTTTTTCTTAGATGTCTTCTCTTCCTTTTGTGAATTGAGTAAGGTTCGGTTTGCGTTTCATTTGGCGTGGTTGTTGTGTGTGTGTGCTTGGAAGTGTGGTTTTGCGGTTATGGCTTTTGTTCAAAAAGCGCATTATCTGATTTTTTTTTTTTTTTGGCTGTTCAATTCTTAGCTTTAGATCTCTTTCTTGTCTGTGTATTTGATGGGGGTCGGTGAGATTTTTTTTTTCTTTTTAACCTTTAATGGGGTCATTGGCGCCCAACTCTAAAGGCTGCCAAGTTGAGCTAAAGTTGGGTTCCCATGTTCAACGGTTCGCCACCTTAGACACTTGTTAGCCATCAGCTCTTTCTGGGTTCTGTTAGAGCCATTCTTTTTAAGCATGGCTTTCAATTCAATGCATCATGTTCTCCCGTTTGGTTTACCGTGCGTGGAGGTTCAAAGCCTGTCGATCAAACAAGGAAAAAAGATCATGACCCTATTGGAAATTTACCACTTGATAGACTAAAAAAAGTAGTTGTGTTTCTTTCACTGTCAATTTCTCGTGCTCTAATTTCACCATCAAGTTTAAAAATGTACTACTATGAGCGATATTACATGTAAATAGTGAAGAGAATAAGAGATAAGAGACGCGTTTTGTTCCATTTTAAGAGAGGCATTTCATTTTTATTTTTTTTGTTCAAGAGAGGCATTTCATTGTTATGGCACCATTTTCACGATGCTTTAGCATTGCTTCAACCTTGAATCAGAGACTACAATTGACAATGACATTTCAGGAGACAACAGTCAGAACTGCGAGATGGCCATGGGACTTTCGTTTAGAGGACCCAACTCCACTTGACATTGTTGATTTTGAATCGTTAGAAAAACAAATGGAGTTGACGCCACAGAGATTGACCTGGTGGGATCCACACGCGATAGCGTCCCTCTTTACCCCGTCCAAGGCTCTAGAAAACCATAAAAGTATTATAAAAACAATACTGAAAACACATCTTGGAAACGGTTTTCATAGAGTCACAGGCTACCTACACTATGCTAGGCAGTAGGCCCTGGCATTTCTTATAGAAATCCCAATACATTGCAGTTAACTTTTGAGGCGATATCCAGCGTGCTTGAATCTCCGGCACGGCAGCAAGAGGTATCTTTTTCAGTACCCCAAGTCAAAAGTTTTACCACAGAAGGTGGTTCGTATATTTATAAAATTGCAGGCTTTTGAGATTACTTGGTCATGTACAAAGATAGCAGCAAACGTGATTTCAAAATCACAGCTAATTTCTTCGGTCTCCGTTGGCCTGTCCGTAACCAGACCCAATTGCAAGCTGCAACTCTGGATTCTGGAAGCCCAATAGATGACAGTCTCCCCGAATCCTGATGTTTACAATTCTTTTTCCTTCTGATTTAAATGTAACAACGCCAAACGCATGCCTCGTTTCTTTGACTTTGAGGTCCTTGCCCCCCCCCCCCCTCCCCCATGGGCCCATTCTCTCTCAAGCAAAAATTTTCAGAATTGGTAGGCACGGGTTTACTTAGCTGGTAACAATAAAAATCTGGAGCAAAATTCCATACTGGTTAAAATTGAGAATCAGGGAAAAGGAGCTCTTCACCACTGCATCGTCCAGTAGTGAACCAGGGGAAAAAGATTCAGAAGCGACTAACAATGGCATTTCAAGTAATAGGTCCACCATTTTCTAAAAATATCCCTTCTTCTACATATAAAAGGAATTCGGGGTTGGTCAAACGCTGAATGCATAACTCCTGAGCCACTTAGCCCATAAGGAAATTAGCGTGCCCGTGGCCATGTTTATTATTGGCATTAGCTTTTGTAGCTTACATATTTGTCCTGTAACTTGAATTAGGAGATGTGCTTTACTGTTCCCATTCAACTCCGTCTATTGTGATGGACAGCTTTTGATTCTGATGACTGGAGGGGTATGTAAAAAACCCAAAATAGTACAGATAAAAGCTGGACAGACTGCAAAACGAGGAGGAAACTTGGCCAGATTCATGGCATGACACTTTAACATAAGACACATGGGACATTACTAAAATCAAACTTTATTCTTAATTTTCCCAACATCACGCTCAAATGCAAATGTTGTTGAATTTATGAAGTGATTTGAGAGGATTTTGGATTCTATCAAAATATAGGAAAACTGGATAAATACATAGTTTGTACTTTGTACTAATTTTTTTTCCCTTTTAACTATCCCTGTTTCCATGAAGCTCGACTGCCAGAGATAAACATTTAAACATTTTTTACGTAGAGTTGAAGAGTTAATTGTTAGTGAAATAAAAACAGAAAAGAAAAGAACAAAAGAAAGGAGTTTTTGCTGTTAGCCTATAACTACAAGTTGTAGCTTTTTGTCGGCTTCAGCTGACCTACCTCTGATATTGTCTCTCAATGTTTCATGCGACCTACAGCACCGCACCAGTCGTCAGAATTCAATTCGGTAGTAACTAATAATAATAGAAGTCAGAATCCTCTTTCCATGGTGGAGCCACGACAGGTAATGGCTGCATGCAAATGCAAAATTGTCATTTTGATCCAGTTAAGCTCAGCTTCTTCCTCTCTCAGTGTTAAACCAAGAAAAAAAACAGTACCTAATTGGTACATATATTTGTGTTTATTTTGAAGTAAAATTGTGTCTGATATAAATGCAGGTTCAAGTTATACACAAAAGAAAAGTATATTAAATTGAATTGAAAATTCCTGATTAAGAATAACCTTCACGCAACGTGCAATACAGTTCTTCTTAATAAAAGATACCGCGGGCAGTTTAAAAATTAAAAAATATATAAATTTTAAATTTTAAATTTTAAATATTTTTTAAAAATAATAATATAAATTAATTAAATTAAATTCAAATTATCGTGATCATGACTTTGAGTTGAGGCACAATATTTGCATTCAATCGTTAAAAGAGAGAACAACAATCGTCAAAAAGTCAAAAGGACAAAGGAAAAGGATGGGCTGATGGAACCAAAAATATATAAAAAAAAAAATAGTATTAACTAATAAAGCGAAAAGCAAATAAATTTTATATATCAAAATTTTACTACTGTAGTTGTTAGTATAACAAAAAAGAAGGCTGATCATTGATGTCTTTCTGACGCTCCTGGTCACGTGAATGGCACGTGGTATCATCACTTTCAGTGTCCAAGCTTACTGGGCTTGAACCCACCTGAATATTTGCCGTAATAAGTATATATTGCATGTTCTACAGAAAAAAAAAAAAAAAAACAGGTTGGCCCACAAAATCTCTGTTGTATCACATGGGAAAAAAATGCAGTGAGCCCAATGGAAATCTACACTGTTACTGTTTAAAATGGATGTCACATAATATCTCATCCACTAGTCACGTTGAATTTAATTTTGTGAAACGAAGCATGTAGGACCCATTTCAGGTCCATTTCGGCTACCAGATTCATTTGCAATATCAAAGCCCAGTGTGAGATTTTGGGTGATAGCTAGGTGATCAATTCTTCTTCTTCTTCTTCTTCCAAATAATCATATTCAAGGCGGCTCCCTAGTCCTTGAAATTGTTACGTCTTTTCTTGCACAGAGCCAAATCATTGTACGTTAATAATAATGCGATTGATTGATTTAGACAACTAGAAGGCCAAAAAGAAAGTGGGCTGAGCTTATTTCTGTGGTTGACTTTGTTAAAGTGAAATGATTTCTGCTAATCTCGTTTAAGGATTAGCAGCCCAACTGAAACTGGCCCATGACCATTATGTGGTAACTGAAAGAACCATCAAACGGCCTGGCCCTGCCCCCACATCTTGTATGATGAGGGATAATGGCATGGCATGCTAATTTTTATACTCTATTTCAGTTTCCTTTGCTCGAATGGAATGTATGTATGATTGTTCTTACATGGTCCGTTGGGGCTTCTGACACGGTCTTCTCAAGGCTAATGCCAGAGGTTCTCGATCCATGAGGATTGAGGAGCAGCATAACCATGGAATATATGACATGCAAGGCATATGTATTTATGATTGCATGTGAAGAGAGTAAGACAGTGGGGTACGAACAGCTAAGCTTCTCAGTTCGAAACAAAACTTCCCCTGAGAGCAAACACACCCACACAAAGAAAAGAAAGTAAAAGAAACCAAAATGATTTTGTCCAAACATCTGAGTGCCAATCATTAAAAAGTAAAGCCCTACCTTCCATTCCATAAAATATTCAAATTTGTTCCTCAAGCTTTCCACCGCAGCCAAGAATAAAAAAGGCTGGACAAATTTGAAAAGAATTGATAGTAATATATGTAAAAAAAAAAAAAAAAACTGAATAAAGTCGTGAACTTCAAAAGTTATAATACTGGAGTGTTTTGGAATGGTGTTCTATGTTCTCCACTGATCGAGTTGAATAACAAGAAACTGCAGACTCTAATTGATAAGGCATGGGCTTTGCATGAGTGGTTGAACTATGAAATCGAAAACAGTATCAGCTTCCGCAAGTTTTGTTCAGACCATGGTCGCTATTGTGATGTTGTGCAGACCCCATTTGAGGAGAGGGGGAGATTGATTGCCATGAGAGATTTATTGAAGGAAGTTGAGAACACGCTTTTGCATTTGCAGGTACTTTCTATCTCCTCTTTGATTTGCTAGGCAGTCTCGGCAGATGTAGTCTCAATCTCTCAATTCCTTTAGATCAGAATGTTAACATCGCAATGGCAGAAATGTGATCTTAGTGGCATAACTTTGTTTCATGCGATCTAATAAATATGCCATTTTCCATAGATTGAAAAGCTGAAGAGACATTGGAAATAGTATTAACTACAGTCATTTAATCCTTTAATCTCGCATGATTGTAAATTATTCTCAATATTTGATTCCTTTAATAAAAAATAATGAAGACGTCGGATTACATGTTTCAAAAGCTCTTCTTTTTGGACTCTGTTATTAATGGAATGATCTAGTTAATATCTTTCTTATTCTGTTACCTTTTGATTAATATCTTCATTGGTGTTGAAACCTATTGAGCAGAATTAGAATATTCCACGTGACTTTTATATGTCGTTTTATACATGCTTAGATCCTCCGAGGGAAATTTATGTTCACAATTCTGTTCATTTCATTCGTCTTGAACAATCATAGCTATCTACATGCGAAAGTTGCAGTCTTGGCAGCCGACAGATTGGCATTCAGCTCTCAGTCGATTGGAGCAAAGCAGATTATTTCTCGTAAAACAAGTAACACAATATGAAGGAAGACCATTGAATGTAGTGAAAGAGTTGAGCACTTGTTTTGGTAATGATAATAAAACTACGTTTGAAAGGAATGTGGGAGAAATTTCTGTGAAGAAAAACGGGGTTCAAAGCAGGAGCAGAAGGCTTTCGAGTTTTCTCATCTGTTGCATCAGAATTTTATTCAACACATGGAAGTGGCGGAGTGGTGTTTGAATTGCAGTAAAATTAATTCTGATTTCAGCCAGCCTCTCATCTACCATTCAATTTTATCATGCCAAGCAACAATCTTACAGTAATTCACCAAGAAAAATAGTTTCAGTTGTGTATTCAAAAGAAGCAGAAAAATTAGATACTTTATTAACTATCTCAAAGATGCCTCTGTATGTGTTTTGTGGCAGGGGATGATTCTGACATCATCAATAATAAGATGGAATTACAACTCAATTTCTTCAAAAAAAAAAAAAAAGTTTCTCTTTTGACTTCTCATCATTCTTTCTAATTTTTGGTCTGTCATTCCATGAAAACACATCCATGCCATCCACTTGACATATATAGTCAATTCAAGCATCATGGAAATACATGATGGGTTTGGAGTTTGAATTTATATCGCAGATTGAACTTCTTTTACATACATTGACAATGATATTCAGTATTCAATTAAGTAATTTACGTAACCATAAACTTTCCATTGCTTGTATTCCTATAAATGACGGCTCTTGGATTCTTTTCAGCTTATTGACTCCTTGATTTGACCTTTTAGTTCGGCGCCAAGAGCCGAAAAGATTCTCTGGTGGGCTCAACTCGATCTCTGATTCAGCCCAAGCCCAAAAGTTATTGACAAAAGAAAATCTTAATGTTTAGTAGGGCTCAGTCATATCTATATTGGGCCAATAAGTTCCATTTTGGGTTGTCCTAAAATGGAAAATTTTGAGAGTAAGAAGTGGAAGGTTTCGCCTTTGCATCTGCAATACTCAGCAGGTTGGTGCCGTCGTTCCTACGCCACGAATGACATTATGGCTGAGAAGTAATAAAAAGAAAGAAAGCACTAGAAGAAAACTTTGGGAACTAACTAATCTCCCATAAATTGGGAAACTTCCCCTCATTTCATATGACTTTCTTTTTAATCAAATTTAGTTTACGGCGGGACTGATAAAAGGGTGAGAGAGGGATGGTAACCTCGAGACAGGGACTTCCTTCATGGATAAACGCCGCAGCAGCGACCAGAGTCGATTTTGAAGGAAACGTTGAGGATGTGTTAAAAGACGTCCACGACGATTCTACTAGCCAAAAGTCAAAACCTGTAACCGACGTTGATTTGAGCTTTGGAGAGAGGGCTTTCTCTGCCGCCGGTGCCGCTTTTCTTTCCGCCGTCATCGTTAATCCTCTCGATGTCGCCAAGGTATCCAATTTTTCTTTTTTAAAAAAAGTTAGACATTTTCGTTCTGATTCTTTAGTTCCTTTAAAGCATTTTCTTTTTTGTTTCTCTTTTCAACGATAAAAGAATTAATCAATCTTTTGTCAGAAGTTATCTTCAAATCCTAAGAATAATTTAATTGTTTTTGGTTGACAACCAGACAAGGTTGCAAGCCCAGGCCGCTGGAGTTCCTTACAAGACATGCTTGGAAACTAACACGGTAGGCATCAATTTCATTTAGTTTCCTTGTTTTCGTGATCAATTTATTCCCCTGTTTTAAACACCAATAGTTTATTTGATTCTTCAATTTATTCTGTGCTAAATGCATCTTCATTTTGGCTTTGTGAATTTTTTGTTTTTCTCCATTGCTCTTCTCTTTTAGATGTTTCCAGAATTGAGAAGTTCTCAATCATGTGCACGTTCAGTTCTTGGCTCTGAACCAGTATGCTCTCCTGAATGTAATCGGTACAAAGGAACCCTTGATGTTTTCTACAAAGTCATTCGTCAGGTTGGTGGCTTTAATTCTGCACTTGCTAATTACTATATTTGATTTGTTCTTCAGGTGTTTGATGCTGTAATGGCACTTCTTTCCTAAAAAAAATTATTCTTTTCTTTTCTTCTAACAGATGGTATATTGTAATTTCTTCAGTTTACCGTAAAAGTAAATCTGTTAAACCCAGCTGATGGCAAACTAAATGGTGGAAGTTTTATGTTTTGATTTTTTTTATATTTGTGTTTATGGGGGGAATTTTATCTATCTGAGCGTGATCATTCAAACCTTCATTATATATGTATTATACTCTATTAACATGCAATACGTCTGGATTATCAACTTTGTATTTCACGGACAAATCATTTATTGCCAGTGGTTCACAGGAATGAATTTTGTGCAGGAAGGGTTTGCCAGATTGTGGAGAGGAACAAATGCAAGTTTAGCATTGGCTGTGCCTACTGTAAGTCTCTCTATTTATAAAAATTCCTTGTTCATTTTATGGCTTCTTTCCTTGTTTTAATCCCCTTGCATCAGTTTGATGAAGCATTTTTATATACTTTTTAGTCATTTGCTTATGGGCTTTGTTCTTTTTTTGTCAATCAGGTTGGCATCTACATGCCTTGCTATGACATTTTCCGCAATGCTATGGAAGAATTTACAACTAATAATGCTCCAATCTTGACCCCATATGTCCCATTAGTTGCAGGCATGGTTGCACGTTCTTTAGCTTGTGTGACTTGTTATCCTGTTGAACTGGCAAGGACCCGCATGCAGGTATAAACTCTTGTGTGCCTCTTCTATAACCAGGAATTACTATAATACTCCTCAATTGATCTATTCTGCAGGCATTGAGTAGTTAAATTTATGAAGTTCTACTTTATGAATCTTTTAATTTCAATACCAGGCATTTAAAGAAACTCAAAGTGTTGTGAAGCCTGCAGGAGTGTGGAAGACATTAGTTGGAGTCATCAACCCTGTGACAAGCACAAATTACATTCAAAACTGTATGTTAACTATTGAATTGATTGTTGTCAGATTGATAACTCTCCCTCTCTATCTGAAACATTATCTGTTTTGATGTTGCACAATAATTTTGTTGCTAATGAGAAAGTTTGATTAAACTAACAGAGAGGATCATTATTGCTGACATATTCTTCATAACAGTACAAAACTACCGCATCTTATGGACTGGCCTTAGTACACAACTTGCTCGTGATGTTCCTTTCTCTGCAATCTGTTGGTCAACACTTGAGCCGGTGATAATTCAGTTCCTTAATCCTTAAGAAGGATAAGTTTTGTTTTTTTCTTGTCAGATTTGCTTGATGCTAGCTAATTCATTCAACTTAATGCTGGTTTCTCATGCCCTTTCCAGATCAGGAGAAAATTGCTTGTGTCTAAGGGTGATGAAGCTGGTGCGTGTAGCATCCTTGGGGCTAATTTTGCTTCTGGTTTTGTGGCAGGAAGCATTGCGGCAGCTGTTACCTGTCCCCTAGATGTTGTAAAGACCCGGCGGCAGATAGAGGTCTCCACTCTATAGTCAAGCTTCACTAGATATGCATTTAAATTCATTTAGGATAGGATGAACAGCACAGAGTAACCCATTCTCTCTCTCTCTCTCTCTCTCGCTCTCCCCCCCCCCCCCTCCCCCCTTACACACAAAAAACACTAAAATGATCGAACTAGTTACTGGTAAGGATTATATTCAGAGCATCGGTTAGTAGACAAATATATGACCATAAGACATTAAAGATTTAAGAGCAAGTATGTTTGAGGAAATGATATAACTAGTTTTGATTTCAAATATCTGCTTTGGATGAGTGCATTTTGGTACTAAATATTTCTTACTTTATTTCCAGAAAGAGCCTGCCAAGGCATTAAAGATGACTACAAGGCAAACTTTGCAGGAAATATGGAGGTATGTAGCATTCCTTTAAGGTATATTGCTGCTTTGTTCTAGTTCTACGGATTTTGTACTTGCAGATCTTCAGTCTAGTAAATAACTAAACTAATACAAGAGTGTCTCCTTCAGCCTAGCTAAAACAACATAGTTTTAAAGACTCCAGTGGGGGACAAGCATTGCTAATTTCATAGCGGTTATTTTATAGCAGTAGTGTGTGTGTGTGTGTGTGTGTGTTTCAGGCCAATCTTTTAGGTAACACACCCATTGCACGAACTTATAGTCAGACTGCCTAATATATTAGGTTTGCTCATGTGCGGACAAGCAGTGGTCACACAAATTTGGAATTCTGTTCCGTAAAGTATCAGCTGGCTTTAGGTTATCCATAATATTCACTTTCGTTAACTCATTGTCCCAAACTGTCATTTGGAACAGGGATGGAGGGATAAAGGGTCTGTTTACTGGACTTGGTCCTCGTGTTGGTCGTGCTGGTCCTTCTGTGGGGATCGTTGTTTCCTTTTATGAAGTTGTCAAGTACGCTTTACATCACAGACACGAAGATCATTAGTAAAGACTTGGATTTGTGCCAGCTATTGTTGATATGATATTCCAAGTATAGTCACCTGACTCGATGATGTAAAGAAAAGAATAACACACATGTTGTCCGCTGACCAAAAATCCATCACGTTGCTTCAAAGAACTTTTGGCGAAGCTTTTTAGTGGATATCCATGCTCAAGACTCCAACATTTAGACAATAATTCCAGTGCCTGGAAATGCCAGGCTGTATCTTTCCTATTCTTTTTCTTATAATGGAAGCCCGATTCAATGTTATGAGTTGCAACAGAAATACAGAAAGGTTTTTTTTTTTTTTTTGTAAGGGAATATTCGCAATCTTTTGCAATAAAAGTCTGTTTTGATGGTTCAATTTTTTTAATCAGTATGCGCAACCTGTGCCTAAACTTGCCCATTTTTTGCGTTTCTCTTCCTCTTGAATGAAAAAAGTACTCTTCATTTGGTAATTCACTGTTGTTTGTAGTCATTTTTCACCTGAACAGAAGACCATTTAAAAAGAAACTAAAGAGATTAACAGGTAAAAAAAAAGGAGGATTCGAAGTAACATCGGAAGCAAAGCTATCAAGAAATTGAAGAGACGAAACAATAGCAATAAATAAGGCAGCTACCAGGAAACAATATTTAACCAGTCAATCTCTCAAAACAAATGCAAACCATTAACCACCATCATCCATCATCCAAAAAAAAAAAACTTCATAGAGTTATCCACATAGCAAGTTCTATAGCAACTCAGACCTAATTGACTCTCCCAAGTCCTAAGAACAACTTAAAAGAAGCTGTAGGAAGATGCGTCTAGAGGGTGAATGAGGTATGTGAGCACCAGTGCCACAAGCATCAGCACGTAAGCAATCCCTTGGTCAATTGAAGTTCCTGCCAAAAATTAATGCATATATGTAATTATTTAGGACTTTCATCAACATTTCATAGTTCTGGCAAAAAAAAAAAATCAACATTTTATAGAAAGACAGAAATCAGAACGTTTTAAGGATGTCTGTTGTCCAATGCATTTGCATTTTGCCAAAAAAAAAAAACTATTGTGCTTAAGCTATCCTCCCCTAATATGAATATCCCACAAAACAGGACAAGGAAAACAAAGCCTTCCGAGGAAGGTTACCAAGAACATCGGAGCAGACAACAAATAAATAAAAACCAATATTCCACGTAAAAAAACAAGACAGATTTTGGCAATGCATCAATACCTATAGAACTGTTAGGAAGGAAGTTTCCAACATTACTACAGATCTAAAGAAGAGAACTTTTTCTTCAGAGAATACAGAAAGGAAGCAAAGAAAACAGATCTAAAGACCCAAAAAGATCATGTAAAAATAATTTTAAAAAAAAGAAGTTACCATCACTAGTAGGAGGAGGAGCTGGAGCCGCAGACTGAGCCTGAACATAGGGTGACACAAAGGCAAAAACTAGAGCCAAGATAGCCATAACACCCATAAAAGCCTTGGAAGATATCGTTGCCATTTTCCCTTTTCTTAACACTAACAAATTCTGAACAAAGCCCTCTGTAATATATTACCCCAGTGGGCAATGAGAGAGCTCTAAAGAGAAAAGAAGTTGAACAAAACCCCAGAAACAGAAAAAGAAAGTTTAAGCTGAGAAATTCAAAGGAGAAAGTTGGGGTTTAAATAAGGAGGTTGAGGCCATTATACTGAATTGTAAGCAGTAAAATGGTAAGAATGAGATTTAGGGAGTGAGGTTAGGCTGATTATCTTTATTAGGTAAGCGTTGACAACAAGGCCACGTGATAAGGTGTTATTCTTTGAGACAGACTATGATGCAGTTGTTGCTCAGTCATTTTTTCTCTTTACCTACCAAACTCTACCCCATATTATTAAAACGGATTAAACGGCTAATTTTTGCATTATTGTTGACAAGTAAGTGCTAGTTTTCCTTACTCGAATGATTTTGAGAAGAAGAGCTCAGAGCATAGGCTTATGTAAAACATTCATCACATTTTGAAATTTAAATTCAAACATTTTATAATTTTTTAATTCAAACTGCTGTCTACTTTAAACGAAAAATGATTTCAAATAGAAATACTGCTACTCTACTGTCAAATAAGTTGATCATTTGAATGGAGTATTTTTATCCAAATCTAATTTGAACTCAAATAGGAATATATTATTCCAAATTTGAATTGGAACGGGATTTTCATGTTCAACACAAATTGGGTTATTTAGTAAAAGTTTTCCATATGGGTGTGAACTTGAATTTGGTATGCCAGTTTTGAGTTTGGATGAACCTTGATTTCGGTCTGTACGTGAACTAAAAATTCTATCACTGGAAACAAAATGAATAAATTTGCAAATTCGATAGTTCAAAACCATCTTAAAAAAATAGAATGCATTTTTGTTCCAAATGAGATATCAATTCCACTCATTAATGTAGTGAATTGTTGAAATTGGTTTTCTTTTTCACTTTGCAATTCTAACTAGGGGAACTTGGGTTAAAAGAATATGCTTTGGTGGTGGAAATGGCGGACAGGGATGCACCATTCTTAATTCTCGTCTTTTTACCTTACCCCTTTGTCTGTCTTTCCTGTTCTTTGGCCGTTGTTGCCTACCATCATTATCAACTTTGCTGCCAATTGGTGACAGGGTGGGGACAAATTTTAAAATTTTAAAAAATTTATAAATGATTTTTTATTTTCAAATAATTGGACAAGGGAATTATTAGTAAAAAAAAAAAAAAAAGATTGAGTGGCTGTTGACTAAAGCTCTTTCATTGGTCCACGACTGCATGTTAGCTTGGTACTAATATAATAAACTTTCAAATATTTCATTAATTAATTTTGGTTTGGCCTTGCTTTCGGACTTTTTGAAAAATCGAAACAAACAAAGGCAACATGGGATGCTAACCTATTACAGACATGTCCTTCCAGTATGGGTGCTTGTTTCTCCTTAAAGTGAAAACTACTATTTTTTTTTTTAATTAAATTCTCTGTTCGTCATAAACCAAATATTTGGCTTTTACCCTTTGTTTTTGAATTACTTGTAACTGTTAAAGCCAATCAATCATGTATGGTCCTATACCAAAAGTAGGCATTCTTCAAGATCGACCTTAATTTACTGCTTAATTCGCGTCTTATACTTCAAATGCTAGAAACATAACGTGTAATCCAAGTATTGTTTTGCGCAAAAGAATAAAAAAGGCGCACCACAACACATGCCTCACATCCACATCACGTGTTGTAAACAAATTCCCCACAATCTTAATTTTAATTATAATTTTTTTACTTAAAAAGTTAAGTTCGAATCTTCAGCTTCAAAATAAATAAATAAATAAACTAATTTTAAATAATGTGATTATTAACCCAAGAGGTAAAATGTGTTGTTAATAGTTAATATTATGAAATCCCTGGGACAGAGACGACAGAAGCACCATAATAGAAAATAAAATTGACAGCAACAGAAGTTTTATGTCAGTATTATTATTACAAGTCGAGTAAATCATGCAAAATATCAGTAAAAAAGAAGAAAAATCAAGTAAAATATGGGATGGGACCATAAAAGCATATTGAGACAAATGACAGCACATGCTATGTTGATCCCATGCACATGGATTGGATGATAACATTGGAATGATATTCCCAGTCAAACCATTTTAAATGCCTAGAAAATCTTTAGCTTCATAAACTGATGAGGATAAATCTTTTGAACTACCACACACCACCTAACAGATCTGGCAATCTTGCTGCACTCTCCAATTCCAACCTCATAAGTATATTTCTAGGTAGAATGAATAAAAATATAAAATCCCCAAATTGGTTAGATCAAAACCCTCAAGACAATTACCAAAATACAAGCCATGATTCAATAATCCACAAAACAAAAACAATTCTTTTTTTTTTCCAGTTAAACACAAAAGAAAAAAAAAAAAAAACTCAAATATGGAGATGCATATGGATTTGGTTTTTAATGTACAATCCACTCTTCAGAATGCTCCTAATATTAGTGTGGTATCCTGCAAGAAATTAATTCCAAGCTAGTGACCTTCATAACTTTTGAAAAAATATAGTAAAAATGCATGGACAGGTGCACGCACATAAATTGCAAACTAACACATGAAGGAACTAATGGAGTATAAGGACGACAGAGGCATCTTCAAAATATCAATGTATATGTCAATTGCCAAGGGAATACAATAATAATAAACAAAAAAGGAAAAGAGAGAGAGTGTGCAAAACATATTCTTCTTCCATCTTCAATTCAGAACCACATCAAAACCAAAGGCAATAACTATGAAAATGACACAGGATTCTATGTCAACTTGAGCATGCGTTCACGTCCCACTAACTCCGGCACAAGTAACACCATAGAGTTGAAACACAGACTCTTATAGTAGTATTTTTGCAAACAAAGATAAAATAGCTTTAACAAAACGAAAGACAAAGACACAGATTCTTGATTGGAGCTATCTCCCCTAATGATTAGCAAACCATAGAATAAAAATGCTATAATGATTTAATTCCCTTTTTTTCCTTTCAATATAAAATGATAGTGAATCAACCTTACGGTCCTTACCCAAGAGAAAACACAATTGTTGTTTACTTATTTCATTCACACAGCCAATTTGGGATCCAGTGTTCCTGAGGCATTTCCTTCTCCAGTTAAACTGTGGTCAGGATCCTGCACATCACATAGCCATAAGTGACGGCCAATAGATGCTCAAAATTGGAGAAATTAGGGCCAGCAAGGTATATACCTCCATTCCCCATTTGATGTAATCTGGTGACTCACAAGCCTTGTATTCATCAACCAAACTTTCTATAATATCCCTTGATTCATCAAACTCTGAAAGATCATTGTCCTGTTCAGATTGCACAATAGATTAGGATAAAATATCAACATAATAGGATTGCTTTTGTATCCAACTGCAAAATATTATTTCATTTTGGAGGCAAAAGACATGTAGCAAAAGTAACAAACAATTTACACTAACTATTTTATTCATGGAATTCACATCTTTTAACCAATCTATTTTAGTAACACATATCCTTTATACAAATATGCAGGGATGCATGTAAATAGACATGTTACATGTATATGCACAAAACCCATGCATACAGGTGCATGCATATGTCACGCCCTGGGCGGGCGCACCAGGCACATCAGCCAGACCAGCAGGCGAGCCAGCAGCTAAGGCCCGCAGACCAGGCGTGCTGGCGGGTATCAGTGCGCAAAGCCTATCAAACGAGCTCCAAACGCCCGCCCATCTTGCATGCCAACTCATGAGACCAAGGCCTGGCATTTGGGCTGCCCGCACCACATCCAGAAGGGCCCGAGGTGCTGGATACGCAAAGGAAGCTTCTGGAACCAGGCAGGATCAGCATCAGCATCCTGGCAGATTTGGTTGACCCTAAAAATCAGGAACCAGCATCTTGATTAAATGTAATCCCATGATTGTAGCCTTTATTTTAGGGATTTGCCATTAAGTTGTAGCCGGAGCCTCAACTATAAATAGAGGGCTGCTCCACCCTCATTTGTACACCATCAAACACTTCTATTTCAGTGAATACAAGAGCATTTCCAGAATTCTGTTTTCCTGTCCTATTTCTCTTTAACTTGCGTAATCAGCCCTTCCCTTTGTTCTAGTGCCCGCACGCTTGTGTTTTAGGCTGACTTAGGCATAAAGGACGAGATTCCAAGCCTAAGGCCGCACGGATTCTGAGTCTAAGGTCGGAGCCCGTGACAGTTGGTATCAGAGCAAGTTCGATTCTGCGTGTTTGTGTTGTGCAGGTTAGATCGTGATTGAGGAGATGGCATCCCAAAGCGACGTTGCTAGCCAACAACCAGAGGCCCAGGAGCATGGGCGAGGAAGAGGCAAGAAAGCTTGTTCTAGAGATATCTGGTCTACTATGGACGGTAGGCTGGCCAAGGTGGAGGTGACCATAGGCGACATGGGGGAGAAGCTGGAGGAAGTAGAAACTCACATTGCATCGCTAGACTCCATGGGGGAGGAGATCCAAAGTGAGCTAGCAGCTGCTCTCAACAATGGCCTGGATGAGATCACCCGAAAGAATGAATCCTTGGAGGCGGAAGTTCTGACTTTGCGAGATGGCATGGAGGCCATGCGCCAGCGGATGGAGGAGCTTACCAGCGAGCTCGTTACTTGCAAGACTGCCATTGGGAATGGCATGTTTGCTGGAGTGTCCAGATCCAGATTGGATGTCCCCAAGCCTAAGGAGTTCAAGGGGACTAGGGCGGCCAAGGAAGTAGACAATTACCTTTGGGGTATGGAGCAGTACTTCCAGGCCATGGGCATGCAAGACGAGGCGATAAAGGTAAGCACCGCTGCTATGTATCTCACTGATGTAGCCTTATTGTGGTGGAGGCGCAGGTGTGATGATGTCAGGCGTGGGAACGCCAAGATTGGAACCTGGGCAGAGTTCCAAAAAGAGTTCAGAGAACAATTTTACCCGGAGTATGCCGATGATGAGGCGCGGGCAAAGTTGCGCAGGTTGAGCCAGCAAGGGAACATAAGAGAGTATGTTCAAAAATTCTCTGAACTGATGCTACAGATCTCGGATCTAGGCGAGAAGGACGCATTCTTTGCTTTCATGGATGGGCTGAAGCTGTGGGTGAAGCATGAGCTACAAAGGAGGGGAGTTCATGACTTGGCTAAAGCCATGACCACTGCCGAGGCATTGATAGAGTTCAAGCCTCTGAACAAGTTCGAGTCTACCAAGCCCAAGGGTAAGGGCAGGGACGATAGGGACCGGAAGAAGCAGTCCAATGGGAAGGACCGTGACCGGGAGTCCAAGGATGGAGACCGAGACCGTTCAACCAAGGATGGCGAGAGGAAGCCATCAGCAGGCAAGTGGAAAGCAAAAGGGGACCGAGAGCCACTAGCATGTTACCTATGTGGAGGGAGCCACATAGCACGCAATTGCCCGCAGAAGGGCAAGCTGGCTGCTGTAGACAGGGAGTCTGACGAGGAGCCAGAGTCAGGGGCAGCAAAGCTTGGGTCGTTGGTGCTCAATGCTGTCCAGAGTAAGGGGGGCCGCAAGCCAAAGGGCTTGATGTTTGCGGATCTGATGGTTGCGGGTCAGAAGGTGAGCGCACTGGTGGACACAGGTGCCTCACATCTTTTTATTTCAGGTGATGGAGCCCGGAAGCTCGGACTAAAGGTGCAGAAAGGGACTGGTACCATTAAGACGGTGAACTCCAAGGAAGTTCCAGCCATTGGAGTAGCATGGGGAGTGGAGTTGCAGCTTGGAGATTGGAAAGGCAAGGAGACCATTGAGGTAATACCCCTTGACGACTATGAGTTTGTGATTGGGTTGGATTTCCTTGTTCGGATTAACGCCCTCCTTGTGCCTTTTGCCGATTGTGTTTGCATCTTGGATGCACGGTGCCAATGCCTAGTACCATTGAGGAGAGGGTCTGGAGTTGGGTCACGGGTGGTGTCAGCCATCCAATTTGCCAAGGCGGTAAGCAGACAAGAAGACACCTTCTTGGCAGCCCTGAAATATGATGAACCAAGGGAGAAGGAGACCGAGTCACCCTTGGAGGTGCTAAAGGTGCTGAAGACCTTTAGTGATGTGATGCCCGCAAAGCTGCCTAGCAAGCTACCACCTAAGAGGGAGGTGGACCACAAGATCGAGCTGGTGTCCGAGGCCAAGCCACCAGCCAGAGCCCCTTACCGAATGTCTCCACCAGAGTTGGAGGAGTTGAGGAAGCAGCTCAAGGAGTTAGTTGATGCTGGCTTCATCAGGCCATCGAAAGCACCCTATGGTGCACCGGTTCTATTCCAGCGCAAGCATGATGGGTCGTTGCGGCTGTGCATAGACTACCGGGCTTTGAACAAGCTGACCATTAAGAACAAGTACCCCATCCCACTCATTGCGGACTTGTTCGATCAACTTGGGAGCGCAAGGTGGTTCACCAAGCTGGATTTGAGGTCAGGCTATTATCAAGTCAGGATCGCGGAGGGAGATGAGCAAAAGACAGCATGTGTCACTCGGTATGGTTCGTATGAGTTCTTGGTGATGCCTTTCGGACTCACGAATGCCCCAGCAACATTCTGCACCCTTATGAACAAGGTACTTCAGTCATTCCTTGATCGGTTTGTTGTGGTTTATTTGGATGACATTGTGATCTACAGCCAGACTTTGGGAGAGCATGTAGACCACTTGAGACAGGTGTTCGAGGTGTTGCGGGCGCACAAGCTGTTTGTCAAGAGGGAGAAGTGCTCATTCGCCCAGCAGGAGATCCCATTCCTTGGCCACATAGTGGGAGGTGGCAGGATACGCATGGATGAAGGCTAGATAGACGCCATCCTGGAGTGGCAACCGCCAGCCAAGGTCACTGAGTTGAGATCGTTCCTTGGGCTGGTTAACTACTACAGGCGCTTCATCAAGGGTCACTCAGCAATAGCCACGCCATTGACTGACTTGCTCAAGAAAGGGAGAGCATGGGAGTGGAGCGCAGGGTGCCAGGAAGCCTTTGACAGGTTGAAGCGGGCTGTGACCGAGGAGCCAGTCTTGGCCTTGCCAGACCATGCCAAGCCGTATGAGGTGCATACGGATGCATCAGACTTTGCCATAGGGGGCGTGTTGATGCAAGAGGGACGTCCAGTCGCGTTTGAGAGCAGGAAGCTGAACGAGACTGAACGCAAGTACACGGTCCAAGAGAAGGAGATGACTGCAGTGGTGCACTGCTTGCGCACTTGGCGCCATTACCTGTTGGGGTCGAGGTTCGTGGTGAGGACGGACAATGTGGCAACCAGCTACTTCTAGACGCAGAAGAAGCTGTCCCCCAAGCAGGCGAGATGGCAAGATTTTCTTGCGGAATTTGACTTTCAGATGGAGTACAAGCCGGGGCGGGCGAACCTAGTGGCAGACGCCCTGAGCAGAAAGGCTAACCTTGCTGCCATTAGCCAACCAGAGGGGTCACTGGTGCCGCGCATCAAGGAGGGACTTACGCATGATCCTACAGCCAAGGCTTTGATGGAGTACGCCCAGCAAGGTAAGACTAGGCGGTTTTGGTTGCAGGATGGGTTGCTGTACACCAGAGGCAGTAGACTGTTTGTGCCGCAGCACGGGAAGCTCCGCAAGGAAGTTTTGCAAGAGTGTCATGATTCAAGGTGGGCTGGACACCCAGGAGTGAGCCGCACCTTGGCACTGATCGAGGACCGGTACTACTGGCCGCACATGAGGGACGATGTGGAGGCCTATGTGAAGACTTGTCTTGTGTGCCAACAAGACAAGGTGGAGCTCAAGAAACCAGGGGGTCTCTTGGAGCCATTGCCAGTGCCAGAGCGACCATGGGAGAGTGTTTCTCTGGACTTTATAGTCGGTCTACCCAAGACAGAGGGGTTTGGAAGCATCATGGTGTGGTGGACAGGTTTTCCAAGTATGGAATCTTCATTCCAGCAACCAAGGAGTGCCCAGCCGAGGAGGCAGCTCGATTGTTCCTGAAGAACATGTGAAGTACTGGGGAGTGCCGAGGACCATTGTTAGTGATCGGACGGGCGTTTCACGAGCAGGTTCTGGACTGAGTTGTTCAAGCTGTTGGGGTCAGACTTGAACTTTTCCACCAGCATGCATCCGCAGACCGATGGGCAGACAGAACGTGTGAACGGACTACTGGAGGTCTACCTCAGGCACTATGTGAGTGCCACACAAAGAGACTGGCCAAAGCTACTGGATATTGCGCAGTTTTCCTACAACTTGCAAAGGAGCGAGGCAACGAACCAGAGCCCATTTGAGGTTGTGACAGGGCAACAACCACTAACACCCGGTTCGATTGCTGCAGGTTATACAGGGCCGAATCCAGCAGCATACAAGTTTGCCAAGGCATGGCAGGAGCAAACTGACTTGGCCAGAGTTTGTCTACACAAGGCGGCCAAGAGGTCGAAGAAGTGGGCAGACCAGCATAGGCGGGATGTGCAGTTTCAGGTTGGAGACTTTGTGTTGGTGAAGCTGCATCCCATTGTGCGCCATAGGGGGCTGCACAAAGGCCTAGTCCGGAGGTATGAGGGACCTTTCCAAGTAGTCAAGAGAGTAGGCAAGGTTGCCTACAAGCTGGATATGCCACCCAAGCCGAGGGTACACCCGGTGTTCCATGTGAGCATGCTCAAGCCGTTCCATGAGGATGAGGGAGATCCAAGACGGGCAGAGTCAAAGCGTGCACCGTTGGGAACAAGGGCCTCATATGAGAAGGAGGTCCACAGCATTATGGCTGACCGGGAGGTGAGACGGAAGAACTATCAACCAAGACATGAGTACTTGGTGCGCTGGAAGGGACTTCCAGACAGTGAGGCGAGCTGGGAACCAGCAGAGGACTTATGGCAGTTCGGGGACCAGATCAGGCAGTACCATGCAGAAGACGCAACGAGGCGTTGCGCAATCAGGTGGGGGAGAATGTCACGCCCTGGCGGGCGCGCCAGGCACATCAGCCAGACCAGCAGGCGAGCCAGCAGCTAAGGCCCGCAGACCAGGCGTGCTGGCGGGTATCAGTGCGCAAAGCCTATCAAACGAGCTCCAAACGCCCGCCCATCTTGGCAGGCCAACTCCATGAGACCAAGGCCTGGCATTTTGGCTGCCCGCACCACATCCAGAAGGGCCCGAGGTGCTGGATACGCAAGGGAAGCTTCTGGAACCAGGCAGGATCAGCATCAGCATCCTGGCAGATTTGGTTGACCCTGAAAATCAGGAACCAGCATCTTGATTAAATGTAATCCCATGATTGTAGCCTTTATTTTAGGGATTTGCCATTAAGTTGTAGCTGGAGCCTCAACTATAAATAGAGGGCTGCTCCACCCTCATTTGTACACCATCAAACACTTCTGTTTCAGTGAATACAAGAGCATTTCCAGAATTCTGTTTTCCTGTCCTGTTTCTCTTTAACTTGCGTAATCAGCCCTTCCCTTTGTTCTAGTGCCCGCACGCTTGTGTTTTAGGCTGACTTAGGCATAAAGGACGAGATTCCAAGCCTAAGGCCGCAAGGATTCTGAGTCTAAGGTCGGAGCCCGTGACACATACATGTTCATAAGAACACACAGAAAGTATATTGACAGCAGCCATATATTAGAAACTGGAGCAGAAATAAAACCAGGAGAGCAAAAAAGCTGGTAACTCACAGCAAACATTGGGAACTTCCGATAATTGTCAAGAAATGCTTGCTTCTTTCTCAACTTCTCATACTGGCTCAAACATTTGCTGAAGAGGTGCCGGATACTGGTATGACTCGCTAGCATAAGACCACTCACCTGATCAATGCAACATGCACTTCTTTATTCTTTCTCAAATTTGTTCAATTATTTCTCCAACAAATGGGGCCGCATTAAAAGGAGATAGCAAAACCATGCTCAAAGTTGCTATCAAATTCAGACCAAAATATTGTGAATTGTTCTGTAATAGAGGAAAAAAAGAGATCTAAACTCTAAAAAGAAAGAACTAGAGTTGTACCCGATGAGCAGTCTGGACATAAGGTGACTTTCTAGAAAGAGCAACCTACAAAAACACCAAAAGAACAAACACATGATAGTCCAGATATCAGAAGAAAAAAGATTAACCAAATGATGACAACTGCTTCTATCATCAAGAGACCTGAATACTTGCAGGGCCCCACTCAATAAAATTTACTAGCTTCCTTTCACGAATCCTCTGTAGGCTTTCATGCACCTGATAAAACACGGAAAATTATTTAACAAACACTAGTAGCTTAACCCAATCAGAACAGATAATGCAAAATCATTTTCCACAAAAGAAATGGTCTGCACAACTTCCTGTTGATTTTCATACACATTATAACCATTTACAAGCAATCGACATAAAGTTATATATACTTTTCTTTCAATAAAACTAACAAAGAATACATTAGTAATATAGTTGAACCCACATAGTTGCATTAGGTTTTGTTGAACTTCCAAACAATTTGAAACTGCATCACTACCAAGTACTTTTCTTTTTCTTTCAAGGAAGAAAATATATAGTTAAATAGTCAAAAGAAATCAAGGATGGATTCCTCTAAAACATGCCTCTTGCTCACAGCATATACTAGTAGATTTTAAGTTGATGTGCTGCCTAGGAAAATCATTGCAGCCATCTAATCAATATCAATGGTCCGAATTTTCAAGGGGAGAGGAGCAGCTCTACAGCTGTTGGCTATAATCACACATAAGCCATCTTAAGAAGAGAAAATTAGTATGAAAAGTCCAAAAAAAGAGATATTTCTAAAAGGAGAAAGGAAGAAAAATAGAGAGAAAAAAAATTGGACATTGAGAACATATAAAATGCCCAATGTCACTTTAGAGAAAAGAAAGCAACTGAACTATCAAAAACCTTTTGGCAGAACAGTCAAAAGAAACAAGAGCAAGATGCCTGATAAAAAAATTTGAATTCACATGCAAAATCTTAGAACCACTACCATTGCTAAGATAATTTCCCCTTCTTTATGCCAAGATATAACTAAAACTGCCAAAGAATGCAAATGTTTTTGTAACGGGCAAAGTCAACAGAAAAGTAATCAAATGCTTGCTCAAGAATAAAGAATGATATCGTATAGTTTTCTAAACAAAACTTGAAAGCAAGACTTGAGAGGTATATTTCTTGCAAAAGTTACAGCATTTCCAATAAAATATAATTTGCAATACCTGAGTAGGATCTACTTCTCCCTGAATGATATTCAGTATTGAGATATACTTTGCTTGACTAGCTTCTTTTGTGCGTGCATAAGAGGAAACCATAATATTTTTTGTCTGCAAGGAAGCTTGTGGTCAGTAAAATGCAACCTGTATTGTCCAAACAAGTACAAGCTACATATCTCACCTGGAGAAGTCTTCTCATAACATCTAGGACAGTAGTTTTGCGGATCACATTAGCCTGCCAAGAAGAGATACATTGGCATCAGACAGCGCCGAAAAATTCTTCTTTACAGGAATAACAAGACTAATGACGTTAATCTAGGACTGATGAGATATTCTAAAATGATCAATTTGACAAAAATAAAGCATACAGAATCAGAAAGTATCAGCTTTAATCACTCTCAATTTGGAGTGTTTTTATTTGGTCAGATAAGAGGATGATGCTTCATATTTGTCCTTCAGTAGTACAACTAATGATTTAGCTGACTACTGACTAGGCATAAAGGTCAAAAGAAGAACCATCATTTTCCTCCCATTCTAGCATTCATGGTCAATACATGTGAAAATGGATCAATAGAGAACATTATAAGCATGATAACGATAAAAATTTTACAGAGTTAAGTATAACACCTATAATCTAAGAAGTTAAAGTAGCTGCATCTTAACTTGTCACTTATCTTCGGATAGCTTAAGATTAAAATCTATGATGTGAGATGTGCAAAATGTTATTCTTCTTGTAAGATAAAAAATAAAAGAAATTTGCTAAAAACAATTCTATACCATCATTGCTTTAATACTAAACTCAAGTAAATTTTCCAAGACTTGCAAGTTCCTTTTCCTGAATCATCTAGTATCCATCTTGCTCTACACCTGACTAAATAGAAGGGGTTGGATTTTGGCAAATATAGAGCTTCCTCTAGGTCTATAAGGGATGTCATTTGCTTTGCATAAATTCACAACATATGTACAAACTAGATGAGTTAAGCATACGACTCACCTGGCGCTCCACTGTAAGTGGTGTATAACCTGTCATAAGAAAATGACATCTTGGTGTAGGAATTAAAGAGGCAAGAAGACCAACCAAATCATTGTTCATGTACCCTGGATACCGCAATGTAGTTGTGCTAGCAGACATCACAGTGGAGACCAACGAGTTTGTTTGAGCAAATGTAGGATTTGTAAGATGTAAACGGTCCACAGCAATTCTATTAAGTGCAGTGTTGTCGAGAACAACAACACAATCAGCATTTAGTGTTAGTCGCTTGAGTGTCAAAAGAGAGTTGTAGGGTTGGACCACCACATCACTTGTCTCCATCTGGTTAGGAAATACGCTATATGTCTGGACCAGCTTCTTGCTGTAGCGATCATTCAGAGCCTCCAATAGATAGGAACCCATACCTTCATGGTGAATGAGAGCAGTCAAGTTGTAACCAACCCAAAGTCTTTAAGAAAATTTCACAATTCATGATGAATATGTTACTGCCTATGGTCCTAACTTTTGCAACCAAATGAAACAAACATGTGTGGACATATAAATAAAAAGCGAAAAATAAGCTTAAAATAAGTAATTAAAATCACTGATAGACCAATAGAGAAAGATAAAAAGCAAAATAAGAAGATAAGGTGAGAAAACCTGAGCCTGTCCCTCCAGCAATTGAATGACATAGAACAAAACCCTCAAGACTATCACTTCCGTCAGCTTCTCTGTCAATCATGTCCATTATATCCTCTTCAACACCTTTTCCCTGTTTTAAAATCATGAATACAGAACTGGATTTTGATAAAAGATTATTGATTGAAAATAAAACAGGCACATAACTCATATAATTCATGTCAGCTACACAAGAATTTGCAACATACTCCATGATCATCTAAACAAGCAAAACAGGAATCTAGAATGAACAAAAAAAAAAAAAAAACTGATACCCTCAACATTTCATGAAACCATATATTTATTCTGCTGTAAATAATAAATTACTGTTAGTAGTAATTATGCATCTTGTTTTTCCTAACCTACGTGATGATTTCAACAGAATAAAATAAAAATAATGTATAGAAGAGCATAAGAGTTTCTGGCCATTTTGAAACACGCTATGATAGCAACAAAGCAATAGAAAACGAAATTTAAAATATTACTCAAACAGAAAGCCACCAAAAGTGTAAAGTTACAATCGTCAACAAACTTATGTATCATTGAACGTTACTAAAGTAGAAAGTTGAATGCAAAAGAAGACACAAGTAAAAATGCCTGATGGTATCCGCTGGCCCAGTTGTTTCCAGCACCTCCACCATGATCAGAAACAAAGATGTTTTCGTGATTGTAGAGATTCCGATATTCACTATTTTGAATTCCGTTAATTACTCTAGGTTCCAAATCTATGAGTAAAGCACGTGGTATGTAATGCTGATCATCAGCTTGGTAGAAAAAGACATCTTTCCTGTCACCTCCCTGCATCATCCATAATGAACAAATTTACATAAAGATACTAATGTTCAACTCTCTATAACTGAGTGACTCACTACTTATTTTTTTACATCTCACGTAAAAACTATCTCAATATCAATAAATTATGGGTTAATATATGCTTAATAAAACTTCAAGACCTAATCTAACGGCTTAATTCACAAGTATATTGGCGAGGACATTTATCATTAATAAATCTACTAACAACCACAAAAAAAAAAAAATCAACATGAATTTTCACAATCGACTGGAAACAAAAGCTTTAAAGTGCAAAAGAAAAAGAGAACCTGAGTAGCGAAATCTTCAAGAATTCCTTCTTTGCTGATACCATGTTCGAGACAGAGCTGTTTCCAGAACTCCATTCCGATCTGGTTCCCGCATTGTCCCACCTGCAGTGTAATGATTTCTCTCGGCATTTTTTCTCTCTCTTCTCCTCTCCTTTTTCCTTTCTCCAGAAACTAGGGTTTCGGTCGGAAGGTGAAAAAAAGGGTCTGGCGCGAGACGCTTTGTTTGAAAAAAAAAAAAAAAAACCGTAAATGAGGGAAAAGCGAGATCACAGATGGAATTTTTTTCCCGTGAGCCGGGAAAAGCATTTTATATATCAATGACTTGTACCGAGCTTCGGCCTTTTGCGAGTGTTTATTTGCACCGATTTGGCTAGGCTTTGCTCTAACCCCCCATCTTCTCATTTTATTGGTTGGGTTGGGCCCTTAATCGACATTTTAGCGGATTTCAAGGTCTAGCCCAGTCTTGCTGTATTTTTTGGATTTCATTAAGTAGGTTGGGCCTTGGAGTGAAACAAAATGAGACTTTTCTTTTTTTGAGTTAAATCTGCTCTAATTTTTCTATATATTTCAATTTTGAAATCTAAACTTTTTTGGTTTTTTTTTTTTTTTAGTATTACTTATTATTTTAATTTTTCAAAGTAAAAGGTAAAAGACACATTTATTACATGTAAATGTAGATAATGACTATATTTTTTAATTTTCAATTTCCCAAAAATAATGCAAAGCAATTGTTCAATGAACCTATGGGCGCACAAAGGAAAAAGCCATTTGTCTTATCATTATTATTACTATAAAACATTTTAAAACTAACATCTTCCACGGTTTTGACATGTGATTGGATGAAAAATGATGTATGAGTCATGATTAGGAGCGCATTTGCAATTTTTATTTTATTATAATCAATCTTTTTGCATATCACCTTGTGAAAATGATGGCTTTGGCTTGACTTGTAAGTTCAAGGTGTCTTTCTTTCTTTTCCTTTTTTCACTCTTTTGCAGGGTAATATTTCAGTTTTTTACTCAACAACCCAAACCATCATTCACTCAAAAATGAATTAAGAACTTCTGGAAACTTTGGCCAACGTCAGAAGACAAAGGCTTTTTTTTATTAAAACATAAAAACTAAGATCTTTTTTTTGTTAAACGATTAACAACATTAACAGTAGTATTAACTAAAATACATAGCCCTAATCAACAATTTTTTTCAGAGTAGAAGATGATAATAACACCACCATTGGCATCGTTGTACGCAATTGATATTTCCTACCAGTTTTGATCATTGTCCAAATACTTTGTTTTAGGTAAGTAATCACGAAGAACCCAGATCAAACTGGAAGGAACTAACAAAAGCATACCAAGAAAAGATCAATAAGAAGTCTGGCGAGCCCACAGAAAAGCTCCCATGGCAAACTTTCTCTTTTGCTCAACATCTCCGGAAATGGGTAGTCCATACTCTTTAAGCAAACAATCAAGCTTCCACTCTGGCATGGCCTCGTAGTCAGCTTTGTTGTACCTTGGGTAGTGCAGTGGCATCTGGAAGTGGCCGCACCAGTTCCTAGCCTGCTGACCATTTGGCCCGCTGCCTAGGGTTTGAGATGCCCTGGCTACTGATTCCATGCTCATCTCTGCACCCCTCCAACCTTGTGGTTCTTCGATGGTTTGGCTTAGTAAAACAACTTGGTAATGGCCTTTTTGTAGAGGATTTAATGTGTGTGCGCGAGTGAGAGAAAGAGAGAGAGAGAGAGAGAGAGATAACGTGGGAAGATGTATTGGAGCAAGCATTGTTGAGGGTGATGCGATATTTAAAATTGACGTAACCGAGAAAACAAAGCTCATCTGATTTGTAGGTTAATGATAAGAATGATTTTTAAATTATTATAAAATATTTAATATGATATTTAATTTTTTAAAAAATTAATATAATATTTAAAAAATTATTAATTCGTTACATATTATTATTAAAAATTAATTATATTAAAAATAAATATTATATTAATTATAAATTTATAAAATAAATATCATATTAAAAATTTTTAATTTAATATTATATTAAATATTTTATTATAATTTAAAAATCATTTATGAAATCGACTCTTTTTTAAATGCTTTACATCATTTATAAATTTCAAAATAATAAATTGGTTTTTTCCCATAAGTTCAGCTCTAATAATAACAATAATAAATTGGTTTTTCCCCGAAGTCCAGCTCTTTGCCAGGCATGCCGGCATATAGTTAAGTAGGGTCATCGATATCCATGGTTCTGGCGCCGTCGGAGCGTCAAAAGCTTTAATCATTGGCAGCAACGCAGCATCCTTACACTCATCAATTACCTTCTAAAACACTCGGTATCAGTGGCTTCTAAACTCTTAATAAAGCTAACTTAAAATCGAGTAAGCAAATTCTTCCAAAAAAAAAAATCGAGTATGCAATTAAACCACTTTTGAGAAGAAATCGCGAATATTCCAGAATTAGATGATTACGGGGTCGATAATGATAATCATTGTACACCAGTAGCTGCTTAGATATTTTCTTTGTTGAATGTCGCTAATATGCCGCATTAATGAAATTTTTGGGGTTCTTTCCTTTCTTCTAGAAGTTCTGAGAAAAGCAAATCAAAAGCTTGTCAAAGTTGAACCCTTCAGCAAGGCACTGGTTCCCCGGTTCAAGCTAACCAAAACTTTTTCTAACCCTGTTGGCTCGGCGAAATGTTACCCCTCTTAAATCGCACAAACCACATACTTCACTAGACTGAAAAAATGCATCCAACCCACAGAAAAGTCCGAGTAAAGATTGTTGGATTCAATAATTTAGTTCCCAATTACCCATGGCTATTCAATTTCAATGCAACCTTCAAGTAATTATCCTCATGTTCTTCTATACCACACATTGACTCTATTATAAACATGCATTGCAAGCATTTGCCCCACCAACCGAACAGCATTCAATATCCACCTGCTTGAAACAATTAATTGTGGCGGCCACCAGTCACTGCATTGTTAACAGCGCTGCACCAAAAATAACTGGTTATAAACAAAAGTTCGTAAACAGAAAAATATGAACCACATATGGTGGTTTGATTTGTACCATAGCTACCGGTAGCTCCAAGCAATACCAAAACAACATAAGGCCAGTGACTGAGTCAACGTATTGTTGCTTTGAGTACTGTTTGTCTTCATTAATCCATTGCAATAATGCATAATTCTGTTCATAGTCAACTTTATTTTCAATCTCTTCCACATTAAATGTCAATGTCTTGTCATGCAAGTCATGGCCTACCCCATAAAACAAAGAGAATTAATCTAATCTTCATCTGAATGAGTTTTTCTAAAAATTCAAATGAGCAAATGACCAGCTCCATGTCATGTCCACCAACTGACCTTGTTAGCAGTAATACCTTTCGTGTAATATGTTCAGCTGTAAGCATCTTTACCAAATACCTAATCGATGAATTTCACTTGGTAAGAGATGAACTGTTAATAAATTTAATTTCCTTTAACTGGATAAGTACAAAAGAATTACATACTTCAGAAAATATACTGATCTTCATGAATCTGTTTTATGATCAACTGGAACATTGACAAGACTCTCGGGATCTGATCTAACTGTTGGAGGCAAGTCTACAAGCATACTTGGACGGGCAAAGTACATATGTAGTGACATCATGCAAACAATGATTCCCAAGAAAAGCTGCAAAAATGCCAAGTAAAGTAAAATAAGTGATCCAAACAATCGCTAAACAAATTTGGCAGCATAACTGCTGGAGGATCTCTGGACAAGTTTCTGTAGGTTTCAAGAACTATATTCACATAAAATGATTAAAATAGAAAGGATAACCCACAAATCACCCGAAAAGTGATAAAATATTCTGGACTATATGTGTGTGAGCATTTTTCAATAAACATGAAACTGAAAGCCCAATAGAACATACATTTAATCTAACATCGAGGCTGGAACAGTATATTACAATAACACACTTAGATACCAAATTAAGGGCTGGATATCTAGTTCAGACCACAGCACGGAAGCCTACCTGAAGTGTTGGCTTGAAACTGAAGAGGAACACAGATAGAACCATTGTCAATAGCATGGCCATCGATGTGGAATACACCTAAACAAATAAGTAAAAACAAATAGTTGTTCAAGTCCAAAATTTCAAATAATCATAGAGCAGTTAAGAAACTTTAAAAGCATAAAACGTATCAAGGAGAAATCTCCAGGTTCAAATATACAACAACAACAACACACTTAGCCTTATATTCCATATTCTAGGGTCCGCTGTATGAAAAACCAAATAAAAGAATCAAATTAGGATCTCCAGGTTCAAATATATAAAAAAAAAAAATCTATGATGAAATGAGATTCAGCCTGTGCACAGACAACCAAACACAAACAGAATAGTTAAAGAAGATACCTTCACTATATTGTCAGCATATTTCATTAACCATGAAACCAGAAGCCCAGTAGAACCTAGATTTAACACAACCATCCAGGTTGTAACACTGTATCCATTAAACAGACGCTGCCACCAAGGTCCCTTCTCAAATCCACCTCTAAAATCATCCAATACAAGCCGTGCCATATTGAAGATTGCACCAAATCTGCAAGAGGAATGTCAAATCAGAATAAAACTAATGATCTGAACTTTGAAATATATTAATACACGTTGATTGGAGACCATATAAGATTAAAGAAAAAAATAGGTAAAAAATGATATTTTATATTTCGTAGTAATATATTCCTCAAAATAATGTGGTTGCAAAAAAAAAGAAAAAAAGAAACCTACGTGTACAACTGTACATTCTGCCAGTATAAGCAGTCATTGTTCTTCTTCATCAAGAACTCCGTATAAACACCAGCCAATGCTGAAAGACAAGCAGACAAAATTCCTAACATGTATCCTTGAATTGGTGCTGAGAAGAGGGAGTCACATGAAGCCTCTCCACATCCTTTGACCTTAACAAAAATAAGACAGGAGGATAATTTGAATTGTAAAAGTAATGTTTATAATTCACTAAATTATTAAGAGAATAGAATTAGCACGAAAAGGAAACAAGAAGCTTTAAAATTTTCTTGGAGATAGACTGCTACAAGAGCAAATGTTATTGGTCCTAATGAGATACAACAGCTTCCTATAAAGAGATGGTGCAACTTCAGCTAAGCTATTCCTATAAAGAAACATCATTTCCTGATTTCAACTTCCCACACGGAATTCAAGTTTTGACATACCAACACACATTGTACTCGTTTCTTTAGACTAATTTTCAAAAAGTCGAAACAGATTGCTCAGGCATGAAAATATAACTAGCTTTCTAGTACACTAATTGCTGAGGACACCTTAACCTTAAGCACCCAAAATTTTTCTAGTATTACAAGTCAATGTAGCACAAATCTCAGTACCAAACGTATTTGGTTCAGTTTGACATCTGGAGTACCTGACTCGTGGTTGTTCCAACAGCCAATAGAATGATGGCCATCCATTGTAGATTAGAAAGCTTCTTCTTAAGAAACAACCTAAATCATAAAAGAACATTATCTACTCATTCATGAGAACAATATCAACATCGAACGCTGTTACCTACATAAAAAGCAAGTCTGAGAGTAGCACCTGAATAAAATTCCAGTAGTGACAATCTTCAAATTTCCCATTATCTGATACGTGGACGTATCCACATACATGAGAGTAGCAAATTGGACATTATTATGGATCAAGTAAATGATAGAAGGAATGGGGAACAATCGAACGGTCTTCCAATCCGTTGTCATTTTCGGAGGAGGCGATTTCTTACACTCTCTCCATAGAAAAACACTTGACACAATAAGCTGTGACAAAAAAAAAAACTGATAAAACATTAACAATCCATTTTAGATCTGAAATCAAGAAAGTTCAGATGAAATTTGAAAAATTACCTTAAAAACCTCAGCAAGGAAAGGAACGGTGGCGTAATCATATTTATATTTGCCATTGCTTTGTGACAGAGTAGTCAATATCCCCTGCCAAACATTCCAATGAATTTAGATCTAATCGTTATTTGACGTAAATTAGGGTTTAGGGCTCGAGGGAGGAGAGGTAGGGAATTTTTTGGGAGTGCGAAAAGCAAAATGAAAAGGGGAATTAGGGATTATGGTGAAAGAAAAAAAAAACTGACCTGAGAACTGGTGAGGACGGTGAGGAGAGAAGCTACTGAGTACCACTTCATTTTCATTTCTTCCAATCCACGGAATGAAGCAGAAGCATTGTCATCTAGTTCAAGATTGCGACGAGCATAGAGACAGGTGCGTCCACCGTTCGATCACTAAGCGGCTGATAAAAGTGAGGCGTCGTCGTATTTGTGCCGCACCGTTTTTGTATCTTTTTATTTTTTAAAACGCAGCGTTTGCATCACAGATCGACGTCTTGGTTGGGCCGACCGGCGATCACAACTCTGACTTTTTTTACTTTTCTTGGGTTGGGCCAATAAAATGCCCCCATCGGCCCTCTTCGTGTGGCAGAATTCAATTTGTCTTTTTTTAATAAAAAATTCTTAACAATTGTTCGCAAAATTCATGAAAAAATTTACTAATTATTTTTATTTTTAATGTTGGATGCTCGAAATTATACATCTTTTTATTTATAGGACATTTTTTCATAAAAATTTTATAATAACGTTATTTTTCCAGCATCATGACATTCTTTGGTCACACGACACCTTTAAATTGCACCATGACAATGCAGTTTCACCATCGAAATTCGCGGGAACACCATGCCATTTTCACCCAAGCTGACAAGTGTGTGGTCATTGTCAGTCCGTCGTAAAACAGCTTTGCCTACAATCACACACCACCTCCGTGCAAAACAAAACCTAGTACTACTAAATTTAATTCGTTTTTCTTTTTCTGTTCTTTGACATCCGTTACGTTAGCATGTTGGTTTATTGATTCTTACATGGTTTGCAAAGAAACAATCTTTTTTTGGTTTTGGAATTTGAGTTCTCTGCTGAATTTCTGTCGGGGAGGATAGAGGGCGGAAACTAGCGGTTATGATGAGTTTTGCTACTGGTTATGGGATCTGGGGTCATTGCCAATTCTAAAGAAAGCATGAATGCTCTTGTTTTCTTTTGGAATTAAGGAAAAACCTACATCTTATCCGGGAAAGCGAAGCTTGGGTTTATTTCACTTTCCATGATCTGAAAGGAAGCCGTTTTGGCCTGTTTTTCTATGGTAAACAATATCATGTCTAATCTCAAATCTGTTTTTGTTTTGTTCTTTTTTTTACTTCTTATTTATCATGAACATGATTGTTAACATATAAGTTATAACATTTAGATAAAGCCTCCTGGTTTTAGACCAAAATGGAGCAATTTCGGCAGATCGGGGAGGTGCTGGGAAGTTTGAAGGCTTTGATGGTATTTCGTGACAACATCCAAATCAACCAGAGGCAATGCATTTTGTTACACGATATGTTTAGTTTTGCATACAAATCGATAGCGGAGGAAATGAGAGAGAACCTGAAATTTGAAGAAAGGAACATGAAATGGAAAGTTCTTGAAATGCCCTTAAGAGAGCTTCATAGGGTTTTCAAAGAAGCGGAAGCCTACATCAGGCAGAGCTTGGAGCCCAAAGACTGGTGGGCTAAAGCCATAACTCTCTATCAGAATTCCGATTGCGTTGAGTTGCATATCAATAACTTGTTTTCCTGCATTCCGGTTGTCATTGAAGCAATCGAAACTGCAGCAGAATTATCTGGTTGGGAACTAGATGAAATGCAAAAGAAAAGACGGGTGTACTCAAATAAGTACCATAATGAATGGATGGATCCTCAACTTTTCCAGTGGAAATTTGCAAAGCAGTACCTTGTTACTCAAGATTTTTGCAACAGGGTTGAAACTGTTCGGAAAGAAGATAGATGGATCCTTCTAAATAAAATCCAGGAAAAGAAAAACTCAAGTTCGAGAAAGGAGGAGCGCAAACTTGCAGAGTTGCTTTTGAGAAACTTGGATGGTTCAGAGTCTTTGACTGGGAAGTTTTTACCGAGTTCAATCCTACTGCGTTCCAAGGACTATCAGGTTAGACGGCGACTTGGAAATGGGAGTCAATATAAGGAGGTCTACTGGTTAGGTGAAAGCTTTGTTTTGAGACACTTTTTTGGAGATGTAGAAGCAGTAGCTCCAGACATTTCTTCTTTATTGTCTCTTTCCCACCCAAATATACTGCATTTCCTTTGTGGATTTACTGATGATGAAAAGAAGGAATGTCTTTTGGTTATGGAACTAATGAATAAAAGCCTCTGCAAGTATATAAAAGAGATTTGTGGCCCAAGAAAACGAATACCATTTTCTCTTCTGGTTGCTGTTGATCTAATGCTTCAGATAGCAAGAGGAATGGAATATCTCCACTCAAATAAAATCTGCCATGGTGATTTAAATCCTTCCAATATTCATGTTAAGTCAAGAGGAACGTCTACAGAAGGGTACATGCAAGCAAAGGTTTCAGGATTTGGGTTATCTTCCATAGTTAATTTAGCACAAAAGAGCACACCCAACCAGAATGAAACCCAGCCGTTCATCTGGCATGCTCCAGAGGTTCTAGAAGAGCAAGAACTGCCAGGAAGTAAAGGGAATTCAAAGTACACAGAAAAAGCTGATGTGTACAGCTTTGGAATGATTTGCTTTCAGCTTCTAACAGGAAAAGTCCCATTTGAAGACAGCCATCTTCAAGGGGACAAAATGAGCCGAAACATTAGGGCAGGGGAGAGGCCACTATTTCCTTTCCAGTCAACAAAATCTGTAACAAACCTGACCAAGAGATGCTGGCATGCTGATCCAAATCTACGGCCTAGCTTCCCATCAATCTGCAGAATTCTTCGGTATGTAAAGCGGTTCCTTCTACTGAACCCTGATTACAACAGCCAGTCAGAATTACCAATGCCAATGGTGGATTACTGTGACATTGATTCAAGGCTTCAACGGAGATTCCCCACATGGGAGGCTTCTAAACCATTACCCACATCAGAAATCCCTTTTCAGATGTTTGTTTATAGAGTACTGGAAAAACAGAAAATGGGTGCTACTCCCAAAGACACATCAGAATCAGGAAGTGATAGAACTTCAGTTAGTGGCGATGAAAACGTGACTGCTGATGACTCATTGTCATCAGTAACCGAGAGAAGGTCCTTGCCTTCACCTGAACCAATGCCCAGGAAACTTTCAACATTGAAGAAATCTCCGGATCTTAGAGCAAAACGTCCAGGTAATGTACCACATTCTCAATCATTTTGTTTACGTGTTTTTCCTCGTGAAATAATAAAGCACAACACCAAAGTATTGTTTCACGTCAAAATTGTGACATTGCAATTATATTTGCAATCATTCATTGCCAACTAAATTTATAATCCTTGAGTTCAAATCCTACATCTTTTTTTTTTCTTTAGCAAGAATGGAAACCAGGGACATGATTTGCTAGCTAATGAATGTATTTGACTATGCTTCAACTTATGTTACGTTAAGCTGTATAGACTTATTCAAGAGATCAACCTTCTCATTCAATATTTTTGTCTCTATCTGAGTATCTCTCCATGCATATGAATAGTTTTTCTGTTCCTATGCTAATGAAAAGTTTTGGTAGCACCAACTCAAGAACCATCAAAATACGCAAGCACTAAAATCCTAAATTTCAAAGACTCATCTACTTGCCTTCCATTAAATCATATACAAAAGGAAAAGTATCCCTATCATCTTATCCCTAAGTCATATTCTTAGTTTTAAATATTTATATTTAAAGGGATAACAAAAATATTTGCTCCATTATGCTCACCCTAACAACCTGTCTTATTTTCTAGTGACACCGAAAGGAAGATCATCAAGACCTCCTCCAATGACTCATTATGGGCGCAGTTTAAGAATGAAATCAGAAAGCCAGCTACTTCTAACAAGTCCTAGATTACTGAGAGCAGCATCTGGTCATGCCTCGGATTCTGAGCTCCCCTATTCTTCAACAAGTTGATTGCTTAAACACATAAAGAAAGCTATTGATCTAGTTTTCAGTGGTGAACATAAATAATAACAAACGCACATATGGCCTCTAGCTGAAGATGGAACAGAGACAAAGATAGGATTCATACAGCCAATCCTAAAGAGTAGGTGCTCAGACTTTATCGAGGTATCATGTTAAGGCAGGAACATGATAGCCCTCACTGGCTGACTACTTGCTTCTGTACATATATATATATATATATATATATATATTTAGCATTTGTGGTGAACAGTCATAGTCTGTAATTTATGAAGACAAGACATTTTTTGCTACAACTTTAGCAGAAAAAATTTATCGACACAGAAGATGCTCAACAGAAAGAATAAAAATTATTTAAGCCAGTTCAGCAAGCAGATCAATTTTATTTCATACCTTTATCGTATCTCTTAGATAAATTGCAGAATGTGATATGCAATGTCATAAATTATACTTAATCAATCAATGACGGATCCAGGACATTCTCCTAGGGAGTCCACTTATTGCAGTGGTGTCTGCTGGATGTTGATTAGCTGTGAGCTTTGGTTGGGTATTGGATAGTGACAATGAGTGAAGTATTAAAGAATTAAAAAAATATGTTAAAGGGGGCTGTCAAGGGGAAATTTTTGGGATTTTTAGAAAAAAATTTCCTTAAATTTTTTTATTTTTCAATTTTAAGTGTCATGAACACCCTACCATCCTACCATACCATTTGCATCGGCCACTGCAATCGATCATCTATCTATTTGGTTTGTATTGTTTATTCCTGTTTCCATGCAGCAGAGGCTTGATTAATTTCATCCATAAGCTGAAAGAACCATATCAGTAAAATAATCAAATCCTAATACTGCCATTAAATACATGAGAACAGGTGTTCAATTTATGACCAAGGGCCGGTGCAATAATCTATTAGAACGCAGATAGGAACATAAAAATTACGTCAGAAAGGATTTCCAATTTGTAATGGTAGGAGGGTCCCTCACCTTCACAGAAAACATACACGCTACATCTCAATCAGAAATGTTATTTATCTATTTATTGGCAACAACGAGAAACTTTATTGAATTGATCAGAAAGGAATAAATTTTCTTTATTAAAAAAAAAAAGTACTCGTGAAAATACCTTGCCAAAAAGTGTTCTACATAAGAAATTAAGATTTAAAAGTACCTGGATTTGGAAAAAAAAGACTCATTGAAGGTCTGTTTCTGCAATTTCATTAACTCCAATGGCGCTGTTCTTTGCAAGCAGCCGACCCTGTCGGACAAACTGGACAGGAACATGGGAACGAGTAGTTCATAACGAGTTACGTAGGTTGTCGGCCCATAGTTGGCGGCTAGCACCTGCAAAGCAGAGGACTATGGGGTTGGGCCTAAAATTTCGGCCATCTTTGGGCCAATTAGATTTCATTTCTTCCCCTATGATTAGTCGAAAAACTGTTTTAACAGTAAGGAAAATTTATGCCAAAGCCTCTTAACCAACCCCTGACTAATTTGAGGGGTTAAAATCTGGTTCTCTACCTTCATTTGGTGCATCAGAGATGTTAAAATAGCTGAATTTGGCTCCACAGATTATGAGCCATCACCTGCACCTTTTTTTAATAAATCCTTTTCGTAACTATCAAGAAGAGTGCAGATGGGTTAAAGAGTCTTAAAACCCATCAAAAGAAAAAAAAATCCGGTAAACAGAATCATTTATGAGGGAGAACGGACATGTAACTTTTCTTGCTAGGGTATTCGATGCAATTGATTCTATGGTCATAGTAACAGCACCAAGGTATGTTCTTTTTTTTTTTTTGGTCTTTTTGGGGTTCTTCCAGGGCCTGATTTTGGTCGATCAAAGGGCAAATCTTTCAAACCTAACAAGAAGTTTTTAACGATTTGACAAATTATGACAGATGATGTTGTTTGGGGCATGGGAGATGTCGTAATTATGATGTTGCTGGTTCAGGTTGGAGAGAGAGCAACATGGAACGGCCTGATGACGAAACAAAGCATGAAAGTAAGATTGCATTAGGTGATGAGGAGAAGGTGCAAGACGGTGAAGTTGATGGTTTGCGGGAGCCCAACGCAACATTTCTTACTGATTTGAATCTCCTGATGCTGGCTCTTTCACTAAGCTCAGTATGCAACGAAGATTGCATAAATTTGGTTGACAAAGAGAAGAAAGACATAAAGGATCATGAAGCTAATACGAGCAAGGCCTGTATTCCCAGGTTACATGCTAGGAAACGGGAAACTAACGACGTAAAGCTCATGAAACGACGAACGCAAAAGGCCCAGACAATACCCAAGGATTTCAGGTGAGATTTTACAGTTTTTTTTTTTTTTGTACGTTATGTTTTTATACAAAGGAGAACCAACCAGGTACAGTGTAACTTCAAAAGTGACAAATGCAGCATATATTTTGTCTTTCTGTCGAAAAGAAATATTTGAGATGCTTGGAATCTAACGTTAACAGTCCTTCTGGTGCTTTGTGCTCAGACATTGCAGAAATCTGTAGACGGGAATGTCATAAATAAAAGAGCGAAAACAATGGAAAAGAAGTTGTATGTGGGATTAAAGCCATGCCGTGTGTTCTCGTATGGAAATGGACGGCGTCATCCCAGAGATCAAATGCAAAATGAGTTGCTTTGCGAGCACTAGAGAAGAACAAACCACATGCATGCTCTATTGTTTTTAAAATAGGTACCAAATCCATCGGCAACATGCATTTAACTTGTAAAGTTGAATTTCACTTCATATTAAAGCTCAATCAATCTACATACCGAGATGAAAATGTCTACCACACCACAGAACGAACATAATCAATATTTCGGAGAAGGCTTTAAAATTGCTTTCTCAATTTTTATGCAGAGGCAGGCAAATGCGTTACTCGTTTTCCTCCTTGTTCCTTCATCCTTGTTGACAACGCACATGAATGAGGGAAGAAATTATGGAGAGGCTCGTAAAAAATGTTTAAAAGACCATCCCTAGTTTACCTTTCTCTCTATCCCCTTGCCGACAAGAATAGCACACATTCCATAAACATTTAGTTGAATTGGACCCAGTTCAGTCTGATATTCTAATCTCAACTCCTAAAATGTCCTTCACAACCTCGTATGTCACGAACGCAATAGCTATTGATGGTACAACCTAAAAAAACAAAGGCAATAAACAATATTAAATATGGATATAGTTGTACAAAACGTCAATTACATTATAAAAAAGAATAACAAGTTATGAAGTGAAGATAACGACTAATAGTAAAGTAGTGCTGGTGCACAGCCAAGAAAGGAAGGAGATGTTACTGTGTTGTTCTACAAATAACCTGTTCTGGGAAGACAAGGTCATTTGTATCAGTAATGCAAAAAGCTTAATGGGGCATATATTTTAAGGACATGCAAGATAACAATTTGACGCATTCAGCCAAAGCAGGATCCATGCCCTTGTAACTAGATCTCAATCGTGCCTACATGATCCATGCATATACTCATCAAAGATCAAAAACAACATAATGCAGAGGTCTTGATGAAGTCATAATATTTGGTCCATGATAGTGCAAAGTACATAAAGACCATTATTCTTCTAACAATTCAAGAAATAAAAAGAATAGAAATGAAAACATTCCCCAGGCAACCTGTTTCCAAGCCATCTCTTGTCCAAACTAAAACTTCTTTTCAGAGACTATAAATCAAATGGGAAAAAAAAATGTTATTCCTGCATTTATCAACAAGTGAACATCAATGAATCAAAAGATACAGACCTTCACAGAATTTGGGACCAGACCCTTGTATAATGCTCCAAAACCTTCATGCTTAACAGTTTTCCTGAATGCATCGATCATGCCAGTATACTCAAGAGGGGCCTTGTTCCTCCCAGCACCATTGACAACTGAGGCAGCATCTTTCCATCCTACCATTTGCATTCTCCTGCGAATCACATCAAGAGGGTAAGCAACAGTTTGCCCAACAGTTCCAGCCGCAGCCCCACAAGCAAGCCTGGTCGTTACACTCAGCTCAGAGTCTTCAACCAATCCAACTGGTTTGCTTTTAATTAACCAATCTTTTAGAGATTCATACACAGCAAAGTTCAGACCTACATATGGTATCTGCAAACGTAAAATGAGTATAAAGCATTCTCTTTGTCAGGTTAGACAATAGATTCAGCAATAAATGACTCAGTGATCACTTTTGACCACCCAAAATGGGGATGCAAGCATTATGCATAATTCATATGAATGCGATGGAGCTGACTAAAGACCAAGAAACTTTAAAGCGTAAAAGGAACAAGCAACTGCTTAAAGGTACATAACAAAATTCCCCAGAAAGTAAAAGGGAATAGAAGCTGATTTTTAGATGAGTGTAGATTTGATTATTATGTGACCCTTAAGAAGAAGGATGCTTTATGCCTCCCCCATTTCTTTCTCTTACAAACCCTCGTGTTCTGCCAGTAAGGCATGCTCTCATCAAGCCATAACATTCAAAAACTATTAACTATGAAACTCCAAATAAAAGAACATAAATGACTCACCACTCCAATGACTGAAGGAAGCCAACCCTTGTACAATGCCCGTGGGCCTTCTTGCCGCAATACAGTTGACAGAGCATGGAATATTCCTCTATACTGATAAGGAGAACTCTCTGTCTGCAAAATACACAATTAAATGATTAGAAGCCCAGAAGCCAAACTACAAGGAACAATTCCTGATATCAAAGACAGAAAATGCAATAGCTTAAAACGAAATCAATATTCGCTTTGACTTCTTATGCATACAAATCAAGGAAACAAGAAAGTTATGCCAATAGTTTATTATCTATTACAAAGTAGTCTCTTCCAAAGCTTCATCTTGATGATATTGAGATAGATTAAACCAAAAAGTGAAACATCATGCATCTGCCAAGTAAAACGATATTTAGAAGACAATACCTGTACAGTGAGCCTCCCCCGTACCATGTCCATTGGGTAAGTTGCAGACATGGCAATTATCCCAGCACATGCTCCAGCTCCAAGGCGTAAAAGAGGAGTGAGTTGAGCATCTTCTGCAGAATTAACAGCAACAAGCGGGAAAGCCCTATATGAGCTTTCAAGATTTCAAGAACATCTGGATATAAATTTCATCACAGACCTAATAACATCTGTGTAGAGCATTGGTTTTCTATCCCATGAATGCATTCCTTCCTAACATTAATGAAACTTGTTGTCCACAATCTATCCTGTAATTTCCAAAGCCCAATGCTTTTATATTGCTATTATTATGCATGTGAGACCATATGATATGGGCATGTAAAGGACAAAAGTCATAGTTTCTTAACTATCACCTGGTGTGAAGCAAAACAACAATCACTCAACCAAAAATCATAACTGAACTATATGTTTATAATGTAATGCAAACATGAGATGATTGCTCAGCAAAAACAAGATAACAATATTAGTCATACCATTGTCAGTTCGCTGTTGATATAGATACAGGATTCCCCTGCCACAAACAATAACAAGGAACAATCAGCCGAGAGAAACAAACACATTTACTTCAGTGCAAAACTTTCATAGGTGTGGTAGGAGCAATGCAAAGGGAAGAAAACTTTGCACCCTCAAGGAACCTTAAGGACTAAGGCTGACAGGTTGCAATTCCATAACCAAAACATTTATGCATAGTATTAGTAGCCTAAAAAGTAACCAATTTCAGTACGATAGATTTACTCGAACTTAGCAATAGAAAGAGAATTGAAAAGAAAGTCAAATTAGTCAACCAACAGAACAAATAATAAGAAGTTAATCAAACAGTGTTCAAAACATGTACTTTGAAGCTCGCTCGTAGCTGAAGAACTTGACCGCAGAGTTTGGAACAATGCGTGCACAATTAGCACCGTTGCCTTTGAATAGTCCGCCAAAACCTTCCGTTTTCCAAATGTACTTCAAGCCTTGAATTGTTCCATTGTATTTTATATTACGTGGATTTTGAACCTGCAATTTATTTATTTATTTGCAAAAGAGGTTAATCAAATCAGAAAATGAAATGTTTATTTTTTCTTATCTAAATAAAACGCAAAGAAATTAAAACAAAATGAACCTGAAGTAATATTTTTAAACGTTCCAAAGGAGCAACGGCAGTTCGTGACCTGCATATAAATAGGATAAAATAGATTTTAAAAAAACATTTTTTTAAAAATTTACTATTCTAAAAATTGAGAAATTCAATATTCTCGGAAATATTTTCCGTCGAAACAAACAAACACTCCGGAGAGAGAGAGAGAGCTCACACTCCGCCAGCGACGCCGCCTGCAACGAGAGACTTGCAGATGCTAAGAATAGCATAGCTAGGAGCCTTAACACCTTCTCTGGCGAGCTTCGCTTCCTCGGCTAGATTCACGATCGTTGAAACCGCGGATTGGGAGGTGTTACTCTTCACATCCTCCGTAGCCATCGAAAACCAAAATCACAAAAACAAAGTAAAAAACTCTTTTTAAGTCGCTCTCTCGCCACAAAACCTCAATAAGTCTTTCACGGTAGCTTCAGGGGGCTCCAACTATCGGAGAGGACTAAACAGCGATCGGTAGGATAGGATCTCCGAAGCGATTTTTTATAGTAAAAGGATGCTCCGCATTTTCGGGTTTTTGTGCTGTTAGTTTTTGAGAGAGTCAGAGAGGTATGGAGGTGACGGCTGGCTTTGGGAGCATGAGAAAGTGAGACGTAGAGGAGAAAAAAATATTGAGAAATCTGAAAATTATCTGAAATTGTAATGCTCGGTCGGATTTGATTTTTTTTTTTTAATTTGATTTGTATCAAAATTTTATATTAAATTAAATATTAAGTTTAAATTAAATTTTAAATTGAGATTAAAAAATAAAAAAATAATGTGAATCAAATTATATATTTTAAAATTTTTATAAAACAAAAATAATAATTTTATATTAAAATATATTAAAATAGAATATAAAATTAATAAATAATAAATTAAATCAAATCAAATTTAATTAATAAAATTTAATTTAAATTGAATGAAAATTTAATTCAACTCAAATCAATTTTAAACTTTTATAATATCTTACAATATTTAAAAAAATTGAATCGAAATTCGATTGAAACGAAACGTTACGAGATGAAACGGGAACCATTTGAGGGCGTGTGCCACCGTTTCTTCGATAGCGCGTGGATTTGGCATAGTGTTTTGTGGTAGGAAAAAGGACGCTTTTGTGGTCACGTGTTTTCTCATTGTTGTTTGGTTAGGTAAGATTCGTGCAAGATTAATGGGGCGTCAATTTGAGAAAAAGGTAATGTTTAATCCCTGGTTGTGATTTCGGAAAAAATGATATTTAATGAATTATTATTTTTTAAAAAATTACAAAATATAAAAAAATTTTAAAAAAATTAATTTTAGTAGGTGTTTTAAACATTTATTAAAATTAACATTACAGTAAAATATACTAAAAAAACTTTTAGAAGTTGTAAAAGGCAAACTTTGTTTATTAAATTTAAGATTTAGAGTCAATTAAAAATTATTTCAGATGATTTCAATCATGCAATAGAGAAGAGTAAGGATTCTACAATCAAAATGCCTAACAACTTTCTCAATAAATTAAATAAAGACAGGAGATAAGAATAGAGTAAGAATTATAGAAAAAAATCTAAGATTTACTTTAAAACTTGATTCTTCGTGTAATTCAAGACTTGAAAAATGCAATTTGATTTTTATAAGAATAATTATTTGATATATTATCAATATAATTTTTTTTAATTTCAAAAGTAAAATTAATAAGAAAAAGTATTTTATTTATGTATTTTGTTAATATACACTAAAAGATATGTTAATATTGGAGTTAAAAAATTTTAACTATTAATTTATTTGATAATTTATTTTTTCTACCAATTATTTTATATTCTTATAATTACAATTATTTATTTTTTAAAAACAACAAAAAATTAATTAAAAATATCATATTTGTTAAGTTTGAATTCAAACTTAACCTTTAACCTCAAAATTATTTTTTTAATTGACAAAATTGACAATCAACTAGTTAGATTTCAAATATTACCCATGTTAAACCCAAAAAACTTATAACTAAACCAAACCCATTTTCACGTCTAATTGGGGTCTCAACAACACCTAGAGAATATGAGAAATGAGAAGTAACCCAAAAAACAAAGTCTAAAAATGGAAAGGTGTCAGTAACGAAGTGGAAACCACAGTCGCGAGTGAGTCATACATTTGGTACGATTCCCACAGTTGTGGTTTTATGTGCGGGAGAGAACGGAAACGAAGAGGATTTTCATTTGACGTCGTTCATCGCTTTACACATCATGTTCATGGCATCTCCTTATTGGTTAAGTGGGGCCCTTTTTTAGAATACCATTACGTAAAAATTATTCTATAATTTTTCCAGAGAAAATTATATTATTTTTTAAAACAGACTCGAGTCAGTGGCAAAATTTCGTAATTTATCTTCTCATTAATGTTTAAAAAAAGAATAATATTATGAAATATATAAACATATTAATTTTAATATTATACAAGAAACAAGAAAAATATGACAAAATACAAGCATGTTCTGCTTTCTATGTATTTATAGCTTGAAAAGAAAACATCATTATTAACATCCTTTCTTATTTGCTAAGCCTGGAGAACCGCTTGGTTATTTTGCTAAACCTTCATAGGCTAGGCCTTGGGCAGAACCAAACAAAGACCGGATTAAGCCTCTAATGTTAGCCCAGAACCAGTATCCGGAATGGGCAAATTTGCAGCTTAATGAGCTGGTCTCGGCTCTTGGGCCAGATCTTCCTTGATAAAAACTTCAAATTTTCGAAATACGAGTCTTGAAAGGGTTTTTTTTTTTTTTTTTTTTTTCAATAAAAACTTGTCCTATTGGAGCGAGCAAACATCGAGACCCTCAAGGTACAAATTCAATTCATGAAAGCAATTTAGTTGGTGAATTAATAATGTATATAGATGCATGCAAGAGCGATGCATGAACTTAGTACCAGAAAATGGTTTTTTTATTTCAGGGTCAATTTACTTAATCATGAAACTATGGCTTCAAAATACTTTCTTTTTAGCATGCATCTCCTCTGAAGGTTATCTTGTCTTAATCATTTCATATGAGCCCGGACTTAATTATGTTGACTAGTACTGAGCAGTAACTACCAGTCCTTGGTCTCAAATTATTCTATCCATCTCGCTTTACTTCATTTTAGTTAGTCCAAAAGTAATGGACAGCAATATTCTCTTTTCCATCGACTTTCTAATCCCTGATGATGATACCTTCAAAATTCATGCACTCCCAATAGCATGTAATATTCCATCATATTTTTAATTCTTTGTAACAAAATAAAAAAGATATGTGTGTGATTTAATGCACATTGTAATAATAACAAAATTTTAGGACCATATATATAATTCGAAAAAATTTAGTTAATAAAACATGACCAAAAGCTTTCTCTTTCACTGCTTCTCTGTCAATAAATTTTGAAAGATTTTTTACATATCACTTGTTAACCTAACGCTATGATTTGAAAATTTATTTATTTATTTATGATTAAGTGACATGAAATTAGTAACATACATGTACATATGCCCAAATTTTTTGTATCTATCCAAAGTGATTTTTTTTTTTGTTTGTTTTAAATATAGAGATATTACATATTTTTAAGATAAAAAACCGTGACAATGAAATATAACTAAATGACTTAAACTTTTGAAATACTCCCCATTGGCCAAGAACAAAAAAGAAAAAGAAACTTTTGAACATGCCTATTACCTGAATTTCTCGTAACTTCCAAATTCAATGTTTTTTTTTTTTTTTCTTTACATACAATAGAGAATTGGGGCCCCTTAATATTGGAAAATAAATTAATAAGTAGATAAAAAACCATTCACAATTCCTTAAGGCAAATGCTACATCAGGCCAGCATTTGATTACATCAGATAAGAATTAGGACCATAATTAGCAATTCCCAAATGATTTCTCTCAACTTTCAAACGATCATTATTCTCTTTAAACTGTCCAAATCTATGCATTAAAAAATTTAGGAATTACTTTTAAAAAAAAGTTTAGGAAATCTAAAATTAGGTGACCAAACCCATTTTATGAGGAAGTGCACAATGGGAACGAGCCAAGTATCAAAGTTTCTTTAATATATACTTTAATCAATAATTTAAAAGATTACCATTATTAGAAATATATATATTAAAGATTAACCAATACACAATTAATAGAATATTATTAATTTGATCAATGAAAATAGATATTGATGGAAAATGTTAAATAATGTTGTTAGACACTAGTTAAAGTGATATTTTAAGTAAAGAAATTTGTAATTAATATATAATCATCTCTTGAATTTTATTAAAACAATAAATTAAATGTTAAATTTTTTTTAAAAGGTGTTTTAATTATTTTTAGCTAGGATTTATGAACACCGGTACATCGAATTATTTACTTATAGACCGATTTATCAAGCATTGATCCATAAATATTTAATTAATTAGACTGATCAGCATTAGTTTTTGTATAAAAAATATTAATCTAAGTTAGTATTAAAACGTCAATATAGTGTAGCTGCATGTGGTGAAGAGGATCCGTAGTCACCAAGAAACTTGGATTTCTCTTGGAATTTTGGCTTCGATGTCGACGGTGAAAGCATATGGACATGTTTGGTTATGGCTAAAGTTTAGCGTCCATTGCGGTCGGGGTTAGGACAAGAACCCCATGTGCGACAGGCGGCGAGCAAAGTTAAGCAAAGAGAAAGGCAAACGTTTATCACGTGAGGAAAAAAAATAGTGCTAGCATTTTTTACCAAGATTTTCAAGGTCACTCGTTCTCGTCGTGGGATTTTATTGGACAAGGCCAAAGGTTGCGGACCAAAGTAGTCCCCCCTCATAGGTTAGCCACTAGTCATTGCTGCTTTCTTTTTTGTTTCTTTCGTTGGTTTTGGTCGGTTTCAACAATCACTATTATTTCACATTTGAGTAAGGTCTGGTCCTAACTATAAATGTTGTAATCATAAAAAAAAAAGTGGGAGCCTTTTTTTTGGGGTGGGGGAGTTTTAAATAAATAAAAGGATCAAAGTTAAGTTATCAGAAATATGCAGTTCTAATCATTAATTGCTCCAACAAAGTTGTCCAAATAAATTTGTAGAAGCTCACAGAACATGTGCTTGAAAGAATTTGTGCTTATATAAAGTTTGTGCACTGCACCAAAGGCACATGTGCTTATACGAAGCTCAAATAACATGTGCTTGAAAAAAAATTCAGCTAGAAATTTTAAGATGAAATTCAATGCGCCGGTTTGAATGAAAGTGCTTTAGAATGAGATGAGTCTTAAGGCAAATACACGATTCTTCCGATTTCAAAATAGATACGATGATTCATGAATTTGTATTATATAAAATATTAAAATTTTTATATTTATATTATATTTTATATAAAAA